TTTGAAGCGGCGCGGCCAGAGCCCACCGCAGCCAAGCCATTGTTGAGAGGTTTTTTCGCACCTTGGCCAAATGCCTGTTCTTGCACCAGTACTGGCAGGATTCAATCCATCCCGAAAACAGAAAGATGGAATCGGTTGTATGCTTGCTGCGAGTGGTGGATGCCATCAACAACGAAGTCACCAGACTAGTCGAAGCCATCCAAATGAAATCCCTCACCGCCGAATCAGCAGCAGCAGCACGTTGATCGGAAAAAATATTACCGGACCGGGTCAGCGTGAGGTACCTGTACCAGCTGGGTGAATATGTGCCACCGATCCAATATGGTCCATGAAAATGTACCAAGTTGATTTAGTCGACAACAAAGACGGCGAACCGAAATTGTACTACTTGAAAGATGGGCAACCGATAGGGTTCATCAGAGAGGAATTACAAATTGTGCCCCCTCGGTGTTTGATTTGTTTTCTCAGGAAGTGTTTCTTCACACACTCAGCCTTTCTTATCTCGCCCCTGTCAACTTTCTAGGTGGAATACATTTTTAGGCCTTCATCCGACGTACTCCGTAATCGGGGTCCGGCAGTTTCATCTTTCATTTTACCAAGAACCGTTGTTCACTTGCCTGTGCAACACGGGATCTTGGATATTGCTTGTATCGTACATGTGTATTTTCTTCGCTAGGTCCTGATACACGTCCTTGGTTTGAATTTCCATCAACATTGAATTGGTGTCGGTATACAGCAGCTCGCATCTGTCACCATATTGCTGTCACCATAAGCCAAGAATACTCATACCCACGTCTGTTGAATATTCATGTGCCACTAAGTCGCCATGGTATTTTACTTCTGCTAAAGGCTGGGCTCGCTATCAGTTTCCAAAGTCTTTCTTCCTGGCTAACTTCACATCCACACGGTTCCTTAAATTTTCCATCATTTTGCCAAACACGGAATTGTTCATCAGTTGATACAGGTTCTTTTCAAAATCCCTAATCTCTTTTTTCTCAAATCCGGCTTCATTCTAATGTAAGGCTCCATCCAAGGACTTTGATCGAGCTTAAGATCTCTGTGTATTTTCTTAAGTTTCATACCCAATGACAAGTACAGGTGCAAGTTACGATATGAACGATGTATTTCACTTTATCCAACAAGTCTGATACAGGTTTTTTCAAGTTGGCTAATTTATTATTTCCCAATAAGTTTCATTAACATTCAGACATCCAGTCTGTATTGACCATTAATCGTTCTAGAGCGAGTGGATAACTGTTGTGCGATTTGTGTAATTCAATGGGATATTCTAAGTCAACTTAGATGGCAAGCTGGCTAAGGCGCCAGGGTACATTGAGGAGCCCACCTGTGACCAGGTTTAAAAACCTTGGAGTCAACGTTGTGTACAGTCTCTTTCAGTGTTGTCACAACCCTAGAGTACAGTACACAGCCCTGCAGTGCACTTAACAGAACCCACGAATCTGCTGGTAAATGACCAGATGGTGGCCACATGAATACGTGCAAACACCTAGTTGCGGGTAGTACAACGTGCAGTAAACTTGGACAAAGTACTGTGACTATGTGTCACTCCACCCAGCTTTGAATGGTACCTTGTAAGGGTGGGAAAGCCGCAATAACTCGGTGCACCTTGTGGCTGCAAGAGTTGTATGGTCCCCAAGGAGTTGAGATTGATGTGCTGTTGAGATTCACAACCAATTATCGAGGGAAAAAATACCAACGCCTTGAGCATGCACTAGTGCGTGGATATGTGCGCTATGTAAATATCCATTAATAATAAAAATAACTTTGAGTACGTAGCCTTTGTTTAAATCCGGTGGAATGCTATAACGTCAACGTTGAAGGTGATCCATTCAAATCACCCAGTGGGTATAAAGGCTGACTCTTAGCCCATCTGTACAAATGTTTTTCATCGAGATAAAAAATGTGCTTCTACGGCTGGCTAGGGTCATAAACTTCCTCATATCTATTATTAGCCTTCGAATACCGTTTCGCAGCCATCGAAATGCCACTTCGTAGACCTATCTCTATAAATAGATTCACATCATAATGCGTCAAAAGTTTCAGTGCTACACCGGTCTTTTTGAGCAATGCATCCCAAGGGACTGCGGCTGGAGTAATACCATGCTGGGTCTAGTTGTATTTCAAACAGATCAGCTAGTAGCAGGACGTCAGTTTTCAAGCATAAATTGTGGTAGTCGCCTAAGTCATACAGCCTAGTTTATCCCATATGTTGAGGGCGTGGTCGTAATCATCCTGTGATATATTCGATTTGGTTAAGTGAGTGTAAAACATTTGATGGGAGGTACTTTCGTTTCAGTGAATCTAAACCAATCATCCATGTATTTGTATGGGTAGACATCATCCTCAGAAACAAAGGTCGAGTTGACTCGTTGGTGTATTGATTCCTTATAGCGAAGGTTGTTCGCATTCACTATACTGTCGAGGGACAATAGCAGAAATTGGGCGCTGTCTCTGATTTTTAGACCCTCTTATGAGAATGATATATGTTTTTCCATGTTATTGGGGATGCACGTTAAGTTACACGGGCAGTTTCGAGATGGCCTGCATGATTAAGTGAGCATCAATACCTCTGAGATTATGAAACACAACGGGGTAGGTATTATTTTGGGGGGTTATTCTAACCTTTAAGTTACATGCATTGTGGGCGGCTCCTCTGTAATGACCCGTGATGTGGTAATGATATCTCATGGAATTACCGTTTAGGGGTTGTTGACACTCGTGACAACCCTTGGATTTCTAATGAGCTCTCCAGTCATCCTTCCCCACATGTGTACAATGTCTCTTTCCCCATCACCCCCACTCCAGCAGTCGTCCTTCGTAATGCGCATTTCCTTATTATTATCTCTTCATGTTGTAGGTAGGTCAGAAATCTTTCCTTTGCGTCATGGCCTCTGTATATCAGGGAGCATTCGTTTTCCCATCGTATATATGGACCAACCACAAAACCCAAACCGCAGTCTTTATGTTCTTGAAATAAAACATAACAGGACTTATATCGGGTCTTTACGTGAAACTTTGTTCTGGATCGGTGGGTGTGACTTGTTCGATATTTTTTTATGAGTGCTTCAGAGCTTGATAAATGACATAGAGTACTAGGGTACGGGCATTTGTTTGGAATGATTATAAACATCTAATCAGCCTAAAGTTTACGGTTGATAGATTGTCAGTAAATCAATTGAAAACTATTTCATAATTAAAAGAATAATGGACCTTAGAATTAGCACTGCCACAGCACTCTCCGATGTCGGTGACACGCAAGGATTTGATGAACCCGGTACTGAAGACAAGTTATACGAACTGCACTTAAAAAACAACGTTTACAAGTGAAGACAAGTTATACTTGAACCTAAACTCGACTGGATAATCAATATTACCTTTACCTACCCATATCTTGTTTTCGATGATGATGGATATTTACTTGAAAAAAACATTAATAGGACTTTTATCGGGTCTTTTCTTCCTATAAAAAAAATAACGTACCTAACAACAATATTAGATAAAACAGGCAGTAACAAATATAAATGATTAGTGACTTGTATGATTTTCCCCAAGATACATGGTATAATGCGGTACAAAGCTCTACACTTTTTATTAAAGTTTTTCTTTTAGGTGTACCAACAGAAGACTTTCAACTTGTCAATGGGTTATAATTACGATGGGTGCAAAAACATATAACACAACGTTGTCATATTCATATACGACCAGGAACAACCACCTTTACAAGCCTTCAGGGGATCGTTGTTATTGAAGACTCAATATGTCTCCTCAATTGTTAATGTCAACTTAATCACTTTTAAGTTTATTAATGAAAGATTGTCAGATAAACATTTGAAGGCTATTTCATAAACTTATGTTTTAAGATGGGATTATGCCCGGCAGTCAATGATGTAGTTAAAAAGTTGATTTCGTTGCATCAAATAAGCGACTTCAAACATCATCTTGCAAAAGGAGTGATTCAGTTTCATATACTGTAAGCCATTAAAAACGCAATTTGACATTCATACTTTCTTTACTCACACTAATTTCAACATATATAAACCTAACTGGCAGATATGTTTGAAGTGAACATCTGTGAATAATTTCATCTGAAAATGTCCAGTCAACAACAACATCAGTGACGCAACAACGACATCAAACAAAGGAGGGGTCACTTGCAGTCAATTTCGTGTGTGTCCACCGTGCGCTGCAAGACATGCTCGCAGTCTTTGGGGCATTGAAAGACACACATTTCTCAGGAACAGCTGTTGGATGGTCTGCAGCCTCTGATGGCCTGTGGTCTGATCATGACACCACCCCCTCCAAAACAATCATGTTCAAGGACAGTTTGGCGCAAGTCTTTCTCCTATACGTCGATAAATCTGTTGACGTCCATTTGCAAAGGATAAGTTAAACCTGGATTCATCTGAAAAAATGACATCTGGCCATGTCCTGTTGCTAAGATTGGCCCCATTTGCTGCCCATCGCTGTCTGGCAAGTCTGTGGCGATGCAATAAGGTTGGACCACGGTACGGGTGACGACACCGGATGTTGAAGGCAGCAAGGCGTCCTTGCACCTTTTGGGCGCTGAAATGACGTTGACTTGTCCCAATTGTCCTCCTTGCCTAATCATCAGCTGTTTGGAACCGATTTTGCAAGTGTGAAACTCGGATTTTGCGGTTTTGTCAAGCTGTTATCACAGGTGGTGCACCAGGTCGCGGACGATCAGCAACACGTCCGGTAGCCCGAAAACGTTGTCTGAGTCGACTTACAGTGGATGGATGCACATTAAAGTGCCTGGCAATCATTACATCTGAAGCACCTTGGCTGACCATACCGATAACCTGAATCCTTTCGTCTTGTGTCAAGTGTGGCATTTTCTCAAAGTGATTGAGTTCCACAATTCCTTGTGCTTTTATAGGGCCTGGGTGCAGGTAATGCATGTGCACAACGTGTTTCATGAATGTGGTTGTGTTAACGAGAAATGTCAAAGGTTCAGTTTTAAGTATCAAAGTTTATGTGAGAGGAATGCTCCGGGACTCGAACTCGAAATGGGCCAGAATAACAGCCTTTTATCCCTACATCCTCTGTATGGCAGGAAAAAATCTTCAATAGAACTTTGGTAAGTTTCGGGACAACAAATACCAATTGCGTTTTTAATGACTTACAGTATATTATATAAGAAGTACCATAGAGCTGTGAATGCTCACGACGGAGTTGACACTACACTATTATTAGACAGCATTGGGCTTGGCGTGGCCGCACCTATCGTACTCGGCATGGAAATAGTGTCAGGAGTCTCCAGGTTAGCTGGAATAGCTCTTAACATATTTTTGTCGCTGGGTGCAAAAGAAGGCATTGAAGCACGACAGTTTCAGCCAAAGTGAACTTGAATACTATCGATGATCATATCTCGACAGCAGTGTGTGATAGTAAGATAACTGAAGAAGAGTTTCGGTTAGTGCTATTGGAACTCACAAAATAGAACTCGATGAAACAAGTGATTTGAACGAAAACGCAGAAGAAACACTGCCATTAGTGAAGAAGAGGAAAGAAATTCCCAGCAAGCCCCTTAAACATTCATTACCAACACCACCAACACCACCACCCCAAAAAAGGGAAAAAGTAGGAGATTAACGATAAGTTGTTTCCTTGATATGAATTGGTAGTAGCTGCTATAAAAAATAAATAAAAATAAAATAAATATATTTTTTTAAGATTTAATTATTATTTTTTTAAATCTGAAAAACACCAGTAATAGTATTAACCAAATATACACATTACCTTTAATAAGAGCTCAGACTTCGATCGATGTCCATGTGGTTCGGAACAGAATTGGGAACGGAATTGGGCCAAAAGGGCTTGATGAAGGGGTGTGATCCCGTACCGCCATTATGTATACTATTCACGACATGAGCCCGTAAAGATCCGGGTTAGAATTGATCTTCAGTAACCCATGCTTGTCGTAAAAGACTACTAATGGGATCGGGTGGTTAGTACCGCTGACTTGGTTGACATATGTCATCGGTTCCCAATTGCGCATATCGATGCTTACGCTGTTGATCACTGGATTGTCTGGTCCAGACTCCATTATTTACAGACCGCCGCCATATAGCTGGAATATTGCTGAGTGCGGCATAAAGCTAAACTCACTCACTCGCGGCATGATGTAATAATGAGTTGTTTTGTTTTATGTTTGACGCCGCACTCAGCAATATTCCAGCTATATGGCGGCAGTCTGTAAATAATTCATACGACAAGCATGGATTGCTGAAGATCAGTTCTAGGCCGGATTATCACGGGTATCGTATCATATCATAAATATAACAAACTAATTTCGTCATAACTGTAGTTGTTATACGCATGTCGCCTAAAATATACAGCCAGTGGCTGTAAAAATAGTTCGTTTATTACGTGTGTGTTCGTTATAAACATAACTTCTATACCTTGCTTCCAAGTTGGCGAAGCTGGTAGCGTTGGAGCTGCTCGAGATCTCGAAAAGACCAGGCTGGTGCCCTCCAGATGGATTTCACATTTTTTTCTCCAAGTATCTTGACAACAGTTCCATTTTTAGGCCCTTGAAAATTAAGAAATGATATTATTGAATGTTACAGTTTGACATTACCGATACAACTTTCAAACACCAAAATTTTAAACAGTGAGCCACGATTTCTGTTGAAATCATACTAATCTACACGCTGGTTACATACACCTTTACATTTTGGGCTGATTTTCCTTACCTATTTCGTTTTTCCAATGTTTCATCATTTCCGGAACAAGATAGTCAAAAGCGCCTGGAAAGAATAAAATGCAATTACAAGAAACGGAGGCTGACAATGTTAACACACATTGTAAATGAATCAAATCTGGCAATAGTCCTACTTGTCAGACGACGACGGACGACGACCCGATGATCGCGATTCAACTGAATGTAGACAGTATGGAGCTTCCATATAAAGTGAGTGAGCGAGTTTTAGTTTTATTGTTATATCCTAAAGGACACAAGACCTTGTTTCAGATAAAGACAATTAACGCGGTTTAAAGATAGATACATATTTTAGCCATAAATATTATCAGTGTCAGTCAGTCTAAGTTAAATAAGGCTCAGTATTATTCGTTACATTGCTATACTGAGTTTAACAAACCCTAGTAGATCTTCAGCTAACCTTTTCAATTAACCAATCAGAACACAGTTTACCAAATCGCGAAAGTTGTCATTCACACATACCTTTTGAACTTTTACCTAAAAAATTAAACTATTTAAATGGGGTTTTTTTCTGAGCAAAGTATTAAGTGAAACGAAATGATAGAAGTGTTAGTATAAGTTCGCGAGCAGGCAGATGTTTTGCAAACAACCAACGTGGCTGGATTGATCGCTCTAGAAGTTTCGAAATAGGCTAGTTGTCCTTATATAAGATCTACACGAGGGTGATTCGGAGCCTTATACAATTCAATAAGAGAAGGAGGCCTTCTTCAAAACATTTGACGGTGAAGCATTACAGATACATTGAGGATTGTGCAGTTAACGTAGCTTCATGCCCTCAAGATGCTTGCCATGGAAGGAGAAGCTTGTCACATTTTGGAGTACCTGAATCACCTAAGGCAAACTTACATATTAGGAGCTGCAATTGTTGAGTAAATATAGGTTTCCTGCCATTGGCTGCCCATCTAGGATTCAAATCCCAGATATGCTCTGATTATTCTCAATGGATTGTCAGTTCGAAATGATGAACATCTCCGATTTGCACATCTTTCAACATTAAACTGACCTTCCGGTTATAACTTGAGTAAGCCCATAGAGGTGTTTAAATCCTCATCCCATCATAATAAGAAAAATAATCTCTGAAAGGACTTGAATTTTGTGATGAATGTGCAACTGAGAAAACACATTGTACGTACGTATGTCTTCGTCAAAGCATCGACGGATTTTGAAGGCATAGTCCTCTCCAGCAGGTACATCAATATAATTCAGTGTCTTCAGTATGCCTGGGAAGTCGCACTGGCTCAACATAACAGGAATGATTAGATTTTCCTTAGTTTCAACAGAAATGCCAAAAGCAAAATTCTGCTCATATAGGCACCATCGGCTTTCCATGGAAGCAGGGGACAGAACGAAGACAACTTTCATGGACGACATGATTCCTGTCTGAATCAAAGATCCCACATCATGGCCAGGAGTGAAATCTCGTTTTGGCCAAAGACATTTCAAGCCGAAGTCTCGTTCCATGGTGTTGACCAGTTCCTCTGCCCATGCTTCTTCTTCTGGAGGGTCGTTGCTGTGGGAAATGAAAAGATGGTGTGTTTTTCCGTCTGGAAGTTGGGGGATGTCAAGATGGAGGGTGTTTCTTTTGAACGCTTCTTCCTCCCTAGCAGCTCTCTCAGCCTCTATACGACGCTGTGTCAGCTCAAAGTCCTCCTCCTCATCTTCTTCCAACTGGATCAGGGTATCGACATCACTCGATGTGGCCATTGCTATATCTGCAAGGGTAAACGAAGAATTTTTTGCCAACAAAACGGGCTTAAATAACACTTGCACAGTGTTATATGATATCGCTATTGACTCTGATGCTCACCTGTTTCCATCTGGTCAGACACATCATACGTGTGAGTGAGTGAGTGAGTTAATAATTAGCGTCACATCGGCAATATTTCAACCATATGGTGACGAAAACAATTAAATCCTTAAAATATATCAGTTCAGAAAATGAAAATGGACAGTAAGGCTACTGGAGTATAATAGATAATAAATATCAGCATGCTGTTATAAAAAGATACACTATAGAAAACAATACAACATAAAAACGGGCTGTAGATTACAATCAGCTGAAGTTAGATCACCATAACAGGGCCCTTGGGGACCAACAGTACGCTTACTCCCTGAAGGGGCCTAAACTGGATTTAAACTGTCTTCACAGTGGATGCTGCTACAGCCAAAGCAGCACTCAACACATCTACGCTGACACTGCAGTTGAAGGGATGGTATAAAACCTGCTGAAAAGCCGTACAGGAAGCAGGAGTATTGTAAGTCCTCACGTGTCCCTTGTATGATTGCCTATTTTTGGTTACTAGCGATCTCTTGCCCCGTTTTTATACTGTATTTGTCAATAATAATTCAATATTTATTCCATAAACCCCGGAACTAGATGTAAAAACTTTGTGAGAGTCTAGTTGTTATACTGTCCTCCGACCACAGGATTTTATACAGGATACTGTTGAAATATAAATGTCATTGATCTATTTTTCTCTCACATCACGATATGGCCGAAATACTGCCAATGTGTAAATTAAACTCAGTGGCCTCATGTCTCAATGCTTGATAGTGACCAGGGGTCCGATTCACAAACGATCGTAGCGCTACGACTATGTTAGTCTATGTTAAAGTATGGGAGTTACCATCACCTTAGCGCTACGGTCGCTTTGTGAAATGGGCCCTTGCTGATGGATCTTATTCATAGCTATAAATGTATTTACTTGTTTTCGTTGGGTGGAGCCCCTTAAATCCAAGACCCTTTGTTACGACGAAAATTGTATTAAAAACGCAAATTGTATTTTATTACAATTTACGTCGTAACACCTTTGACACTGGCATTAAGGCCATGATGATGACATTTTCTTGTGCTAATCTGCCAGTACTTATTAGATGTGAAGAAGAATGAGCAGTTTTTCACGAAGTAAAGGCATCACATACTACATCACATAGCACGTACTATCAAATTCGCAGTTTATTTGTCAACTCGTTCAGTTCCTGGAATGAGACCAATTAGTGTTAAAAACTTCCGCAATTGGTTGACAGCACAATATCCGGTCCTATCGAGTAGTCATACTCCCAAATGTGATTCACTGTTTGGCACCGTCGGGCACGACTGTGTAGACAGCATCTGAAGTTCAGAAGACAAGTCCGTGACAGTAAACTGTTCACAGATGATTCGACCCCCGAAGATCTGCGTTAGAATTGTTTTTCAGTAACCCATGCTTGTCGTAACGAGATAGGATGGTCAGTTTTATTTTCAGTAGAAACCTTTATGTGGAATGAAGTCTGTTCCTTGTTAGGGTAGTGGTTTCATGAAGAGTGTGTATATAGAAACTATGTCCAAAGTTTCCAATGATAAAAAAATATAGAACGCCAGTGAGAAAGAATGTCGAGTCTTGACTATCCTCAGGAACTAATTCCTATTGGCGAAACGGGGAAAATAGCTGTGACAAATATATATGAATAGCCACTAAAGATCAGTGAGGGCACCAGCTGTTGGCGGAAAGGGTAAACATGTCAAAATTCACAAAATTATTTATCAATACCGGACGTCTCCAGTCAAAAGTATAAAAATAACTTTGGTATAAAAACCCCAAGGAAAACATCTCTTTCAGTACTTATCGATAGAGATGTAAATCATACTTGAATCTCTATCAACGTACATGATTCCTTGTAATTCTCGTATTATACTCGTGTGAATAATTGTCTGGTCCTTGCATCTACCCTGTGGGCCAACTATGCTAGTATGACTGATGTTATGACGATGTGAAAGATGTTATTCCAGAATCGCAAGCAGGTTTAAAGAAAAGATAATCAACGTCAGACCATATATTTACACTACTTGCCGTAGTAGAAAAATGTCTTTCTAGTCGTAAGCAGAAGTTAATGTTGCCTTTGTCGATTTTCGCAAAACGTCCGATTCTGTTGATCGTTCAAAACTTGATCGATACTGTTATTGTAACTCTGGGAAAATGTATTTATTTTCTGAAAGCAATGTATGAGAATGTGAAAGCATGTTACGTTGTGGTAATGATATAACTGATTTTATTTTACTGCCTTGAGACAAGGTTGTATTTTCAGCCCCATCCTCTTTTCCTTTTGTATTAATGATATATATTATGAAATTATGGCAAACGGAAATCATGGTGTCCAAATGTTTCCAAATCTGATAGATATTATTTTTTCCCGATGATGTTATTCTATTATCAGAATCATTTCTTGAGCTTCAGACACAATTGATTTTTTTAGAATGTTACACAAAGACATGGAACTTAACCACGAACCAAGATAAAACACATATAATAATTTTCAGAAAAGGCGGCAAGAGAAAGATGTAGTTTTGATTATAAATCTGTAACTGTAACAAATCAGTACACATATCTTGGTTTTATGTTTAATACAACCATTAATTTGAAAAAAAATCGGTTGCTGAACTAGCCTAAGAGCAAAGAAGGCATTAACTAGTTTATTGTCAGCTATGCATAATTTTGGAGTGTTGACGCCAAAATATTTGATTCACAAATACAGCCTATCTTACTCTACGAATCCGGTATATGAGGATTCCAGCATTTTGATTCCAGTGTATATCTAATGGCGTGTAAAAAGTTTCTTGGTGTGGGACAGTCAACACCAACATGTATGGAATTTGGAGAATGTCGGAGATATCCCTCTTACATTAGATGCATAAAATACTGCTTGAATGTTAGCATTAAAATTGACTGCCAATAATGACTTACACTATACTCACTAATCTGGATGATCTGAGTAAAGTAACATTGGCATCTAATGTAAGAAATCTCCTATCTTCTCACGGGTATGATTTTGTGTGACTAAATCAGTCACCTGGCAATGTGAATCCTTGTTTGCACCAGTTCCGAGAAACAGCTATCAAGATATTTCATCAAGACTGGCATTCAATGTTAGATAATATCTTACGGTTTGATTCCTATAGAATGTTTAAAACCTTACTCCAACTCGAAATGTACCTATCACATTTGACATAAAAATGTTGAGAAATTCATTAATATGACTTAGATTAGGACTATAAAACTTAAAGTCTCATGAAGGAAGGCATCTGTCCATCGACAGATATAAAAGAATTTGCCCATTGTGTAAATTATCTATTGAAAACGAAATTCATTTTTATTCGTCTGTCCATCTTACGTAGATTTACGTAAACAATATTTTCCAGCATGTTGCCTCTTCAAGTCACCTCAACAATTCTAATGACAACAACGCCGAAGACCCGGGTTCGATACCCCACATGGGTGCAATGTGTCAATTTCTGGTGTCCCCCGCCGTGATATTGCTGGAATATTGCTAAAAGCGGCGTTATGCCATACTCACTCACTCACTCTATGACAACTGCATCAACTTGAAAGTATCACAATACATTAACAATGCAATATCTAAGTGTGATACTCTGTTAAAATCATCTGTGTATTCAAGCTGTATGTGATTGTATAATGCATGTAACTTCAATGTATATATATGGAGGCCTGAAATACAAACATCCTGAAGACCCTGGAGGCATTTACGTCTTCTTGTGTGTATTAGAATTGGTATTCAGCAACCCAGGCTTGTCGTGTGTCATTGTATTGTCATAGACTAAACCAATTCAATAAGTTTCTCTAAAACTTCATATATTCAAACCACATATTTGTTTCAATATATGTCCTTAAGTACAAGTAAATGCTATCCCCTTTGTCTATTTAAAGTATTCAGCAAACATTCAGTGTATACACACACACACACACACACACACACACACACACACACACACACACACACACACACACACACACACACACACACACACTTACGGACAGGACCCTTACTTCCCAATGCTATCAGTGAATGTCAATAAAGTCAATTAACGGGTATGTACATGTGCATAGGTCAGTGACCTTGCACAGCGTGGCGTCATGCCCCTATGTATAAAACCTGACTGCTATACGCAGTCAGGGAGACCAGTCAAGAAGACGAAACGAGGCGAGGAGGCGGGCCCAGATCATCGACAGAAGCGGACGGATTGTGCGGCTAGTCGGGGCGTCGACCAAGGCCGTCGCCTCACCAGCGACTACGTCGACGATGAAGAATCACCGTCCGACTACCGCCTGTGTGTGTAAGTGACAGAGCGGGTCTCCACATCGGGAATATTGGTCACTCGGTCCCGGTGTGCGTTCTGTCACGTGCTTACCATTTCATGTACCATTTCAACTATTATTCCCCAAGCATAATAAACATGGCTGCTGCTGTCTTCAACTCTACCGCTGACTTTTGTCTTCCGTCTATTATCCACCATCCTGAACTACCATCCGAGAGCATCCCCAACCAGTGCTCATGATGCTGATCATCAGCTGGTCCAGACCGGTTATGTACAAATCGCCTTCGCCCGGAATATTGCTGAATGCGGCATTAAACAGCAAACAAGCATACGTCTATTTCTTCAATCGCGCAAACTTTATGGGCATGTTTAGAGATGTGTATTCGACCACACATCGGAATCGGAAACGAAGCTACAGTGGTGAAAATTCCATAAAGTTGATCCTTCATGTGGAACATTCATAAGCATGTAACAACACCAATTGTCCCATCAGCGCCCATGAACATCGGAGGATGGCATGGATGTATAAACACAGCGTGCCCACAAAATGTCTCTGTCAGCATTATTTTTTGGGCACTACGAAAATTAAAATATATACAGCTTTGATTTTAAGGTTAAACATTGTGGTGTCCTAAGTTTCAATCGGACCACTGTCTTGTAGACTCGCCCGCTTTGGGGTTGGACTACAATGAATGTGACTTAAACAAAAGGGTTGCATAGAAGTAGCGTGTCACATTTTGTGGTATCTGCTGTAGACACGGACTGCGAGGGGACCCTGGATATAAATAACCCGCGATGATGGGGAAGATATAGACTTACAACTAGTCTCTGAAATGTACATTTTTACAGAAAAAAGCTCATAGTAAAAAAATTAAAATATAATGAAAAGGAGCCCTGAGACTTTCTTCATTTTCAGAAATCCAGACTTGCCACATTTTCTAGACTTGCGTGGGCTTTCTTGGATATATTTGCTTCAGGATCTGTATGGCAGACTAACATTCAGGCGTACAAGTGCCTCTACAAAGCCAAAGCACGAGAATGTTGGGGTTTATTTTTGTGCTTCTGTTGCTGACAGGCCGTGAGGACATATTCGATTGTTACTACTCTAATCTCAGCAAATGCGTGTATGTATCGATCGAGGATTGTCGCACTTATTCCCAGAAACCGGTTTAGGTTCCGTAAATTGCTTATTTATAGAGCTGGGAAATCCAAGTTGTGCTTTTCCTGTCGCTGATAACGAAATCCTTACGATTGGCTAAGAATCAAATTTGAGAAGACAAGAACGGACAATAATACTCTCGATACAGTCTTCACCTGTCGAAGATCCCTGTGCCAAAGATCATAAGAACCGCTCGTGTCTCATATCACACTCATGGACCTCTCGTATCACAAAAAGAAAGGCAATCACTGCATGTATTTGTAACAAAGCGCAATTCGCTTACCTGGTTACTGTGTCGTGTTTGCCACTCGTCAGCAGTGACAATCTATTCTGAATTATGACTCAACTTCCGGACAACATTGTCAAGGACGGGTATTATCTACTTTCTCTTTCGTTTTCACTTCACCCATTGCAATCCACCCGCGTCCACATTTCTCCTGTGTTAATGCTACCCAAGGTAGGTGTTGTAAGATGTTGAACGGCCAGGTGTTGGTAGATTTTGTACGGCCGGGTATTGGTGGATGTTGTAGGGTCAGGTGTTGGTGGATGTTGTAGGGTCAGGTATTGGTATATGTTGTACGGCCAGATCTTTGTAGATGTTGTATGGCCAGTTGTTGGTAGATGTTGTACGGTGAGGTATTGGTGGATGTTGTAGGGTCAGGTCTTTGTAGATGTTGTATGGCCGATGGTTGGTAGATAGGGCCAGGTATTGGTAGATGTTGTATGGCCAGGTGTTGGTAGATGTTGTATGGGCCAGGTGTTGGTAGATGGTGTAGGGCAGGTGTTGGTAGATGTTGTGAGGCAAGGTGTTGGTAGATGTTGTAGGGTCAGATGTTGGTAGATGATGTAGGGTCAGGTGTTCGTAAATGTTGTAGGGTCAGGTGTTGGTAGATGTGATATGGCCAGATGTTGGTAGATGTTGCAGGGCCAGGTGTTGGTAGATGTTGTATGGCCAGGTGTTGGTAGATGTTGTATGGCCAGGTGTTGGTAGATGATGTATGGGCAGGTGTTGGTAGATGATGTAGGGCAGGTGTTGGTAGGTGTTGTAGGGCCAGGTGTTGGTAGATGTTGTGGGGTCAGATGTTGGTAGATGATGTAGGGTCAGATGTTGGTAGATGTTGTATGGCCAGGTTTTGCTAGATGTTGTAGGGCCAGGTGTTGGTAGATGTTGTAGGGCCAGATGTTGGTAGATGTTGTATGGCCAGGTGTTGGTAGATGTTGTATGGGCAGGTGTTGGTAGATGTTGTATGGCCAGGTGTTGGTAGATGTTGTAGTGCCAGATGTTGGTAGATGTTGTAAGGCCAGGTGTTGGTAGATGTTGTAGGGCCAGGTGTTGGTAGATGTTGTAGGGTCAGGTGTTGGTAGATGTTGTAGGGCCAGGTGTTGGTAGATGTTGTAGGGCCAGGTGTTGGTAGATGTTGTAGTGCCAGATGTTGGTAGATGTTGTAAGGCCAGGTGTTGGTAGATGTTGTATGGGCAGGTGTTGGTAGACGTAGGGCCAGGTGTTGGTTTTTTGTGCCTATTATGTTTCTATAACTCACATAGTTAACCTAATAGTCTAAAGCTGACAACTTGTAGTGGACTGTTGCATGACTGAACGGATAGGATGAAGGCTTGGAGGCTTAACCCACCAACATAACATTACTATTATTGTTATTCTCGGCGTGTGTGTGTGTGTGTGTGTGTGTGTGTGTGTGTGTGTGTGTGTGCAGTTAGGGTGATAACAATAATAGCAGTATCTTACCTTACCCTACCCTACCCTACAATAATCTTCCTTTCCACACCATACCTTATCTTGCCTTGCCTTGCCTTGCCTTGCCTTGCCTTGCCTTGCCTTGCCTTGCCTTGCCTTGCCTTGCCTTGCCTTGCCTTGCCTTGCCTTGCCTTGCCTTGCCTTGCCTTGCCTTGCCTTGCCTTGCCTTGCCTTGCCTTGCCTTGCCTTGCCTTGCCTTGCCTTGCCCTATGCTACCCTACCTTATCCTGTTTTACCCTGCGTTGCCCTACCTTACCCCTACCTACCGTACCGTATAACCTACCCTAATCTTATCTTATCTTATCTTACCCTACCCTACACTATGCTGCCCTACCTTACCCTACCCTACACTACCCTACCCTACCCTACCCTAATCTACCCTAATCTACCCTACCCTTCCAAACCATACCTGACTTTACCTTATCTTACCTGACTTTACCTTATCGTCTCAAGGGAGCAGCCACGGTGAACAAGTTTTGTATGTACTTCCCAAGGAAGTTCATTAATCCGATGAATCATTGCAGATCCTTTTTTTCTTTTGGCAGTAACATGTCTTCGATCACAATGACTCCGAAATTGTACCCTGCCCTGCCCTGCCCCTCTGTAAGCATTTCTTTCCCGGAGCATCATAACTCAAAAAACGTTCAATATTTTTCTAGCCAAAATTGGTAGATATATCAAACAGAAAGTGGTGCCTTTTCCTATTTACAGAATTTTGGCAATTTTTTTTCGATTTCTGTGAGAAACAGTCTGGACTTTTTCTCTAAAAGTGGTGTATTTCTTTACCGGAGAATAGCACAAGAACCGCTCAATATCTATCAACAAAACTTGGCAGATATATCAAATAGATCCCGATGTTGTGCCTTTGGCTATTTGTGGATTTGGGGCATTTTATTTTTATATTTTTTTCATGGAAACGATGTAAACCTCGATTCAAAAGGGCGGGGTACGCTTCTTTTCCGGAACAATACTCGAAAAACGTTCAATATCCTTCTATAAAATCGGTAGATATATCAAACAGAACCTAAAGTGGTGCCTTTTGCTATTTGCAGATTTTTGGCCTTTCTATTTATTTCGATTTCCATGGAAACAACTTGGTCTTAGTCTCAAAATGGGTGCATTTCGTTTCCGGAGACTACCACACACCAAAAAACAACCACTCAATTCCTATCAACGAAACCTGACAGTTATATCAAACAGACCTTTAAGTGGTGCCTTTTAATATTTGCGGATTTTTATTTCCATGGAAACGATTTGGATTTAGTCCCAAAAATGAGGGGTGGGCTTCGTTTCCGGAAACCGTTCAATATCTTTCAAGATTTGGCAGACATATCAAACAGAACCTAAAGTGGTGCCTTTTGCTATTTGCAGATTTTTGGCATTTAGATATTTCATGATTTCCATGAAAACAATTTAGACTTATACAAAAAACTTTTGAAGTGTGAAGCGTTTTATGGATATCAGCTTATTATATTCCTTGGAACAATGGTGTTTTTGGACTTATACAAAAAAATCATGTTGGACTTGTAATTGTCAGATGATGGGTTTTTTCAAATTTGTAGAGGCCGGGAGGATTTTTCATCTTTCTTATTTAATTTCTTTAACTTCAATTGTAGTGAAGTGTTTTGAACGTATTGTGCTTTGCTCCTACTCGTTCAGATCCTTACAATTCGCATATAGAGCGAGACTTAGTGTATATCTATTAATACCGCTACCCCACAAGGATGTGTATTATCTCTAATACCTTTCACTTTGTATACTAATAATTGTCTACGTTCTCAACCTAACTGTTCTAGATTCAAGTTCAGCGGTGATATAGTCATCAGCAGTCTTCTTTGAGCACTCATACAAAGAAGTAATAAATGTATTTTTTAAGTGGTGTAATGAAAACTTTCTGAAGTTAATGTGTCCAAAACAAAGGAACTTATTGATTTTCGAAGGAATAGACCATCAAGTAATTATGTCGTTATGATTGGGGATGCTGTCGAAGTAGTTAGTAGTTATAAGTATATCGGGTAACTATAATTGACAATTACATTTCTCTCAAAATACAGATCGCATTTACTGTCAGTCTTGCCTTTATTTCTTCAGGAAACTCCGATCTTTTCGCATTAACTCAACTTTTTTGGAACATTTCTATAAACTTTGTGTACAATCCATCGTCCTGTCCTCTATTCAGTGTTGGTTCAGCTCCCTCTCACTCAGTAATAAAAACAAACTAAACAGATTATAAAACAAGGAGAGAAAATTACTAATCGTATCATTAAGAGAATAGATGTATTTCGTGGAGCAAGGGCTCTAAATTTAGCTACAATAATTGTTACTAATTCCTCTCATGTTTTGCATGAATGACATGAACTTTTACCCTCTGGCCGTCGGTATGCATAATGTACTGGCGTGCAAATCCGAGCGTTATAAAATGTCTTTTGTCCAATTATCAATTTCTTTGTTGAATACCCGTTAAAGTTCTCCATTCTCATGCATTTGTACATTTGTATGTAATTATGATCATGTTTTATGTATTTAATTGAAATACATGTATTTATGCTCTCAGATGTAAGATAAAAATTCCCTCACGAGCAATAATGAATTATCTTATCCTTCTATGCCATCTGTAACGAACGAACCTTATTATTACACAGGTGGTTTAAATATTAATGATTATATGTGGTTTCATGGCTGATGTGTTACATATATGAATTTAAATACCACTCTCATTAGAAAAGATACTTGTATCGTCAAAGTGAACAAAACTATCCGTGTTTCAGATAGCAACACTTGCATGCTGGAATTATACGTAGCCTGGTGTTCCTGACTGGCCTTACCGTTGAAGCACATGTAACAATCATGTTCATTCTGATAGCGTGTGTCTTGTTGTCCTGTTGGGTTGAAGTAGGCACATACAGGTGTCCCTCAACAGCTCCTCTTTACTTCCCAAATCTTTGGAACAACTGTATTAGTGCACAGGAATGTCGAAGAAAGTCATTTGTGGTCTACGAGAGAACATGCGTGCATTCCTGTCCGCCCGGGACGTTTTACCAACAGGAGGCTTCCACCTGCTACAACACGTGTCCTGTACATACGATCAGGATAGGATCACGTTGTTTGAATGGGACATACTGCGTGTCCAACAACAACCAGGTTCTGTTTAATGGTACATGCGTGCCATCCTGCCCTTCGTCCGCGCCTTTCACGAAAGATGGGGTTTGTCGTAAGGAATGCCCAGCTGATACTGTAACGAATAAGTCCGACTGTGTGTCTCCATCAGACTGTGTGGTAAGGGGATATTTCATAGACAACACAACATGTGTTAAAGCTTGTCCTCCTGAGAAACAGTCGATTCTACAAGGTGTCTGTCATTCTTCATGTCCACCTGACAAATCTGTCACCGTAAATGGAACAGCTTGCCTATCAAAACAGGAATGTACTGACAAGCTGGGCCATTTCATATACAACAATACCTGTGTTCCCGAGTGTCCACCTACAGCTATGTTCAGTGACCAGGGGTCATGCACAGCACTGTGCCCGAAAGAGAAATGTGTTCTTGGGACAGATTGCATTTTGGTCACTGAATGTGTCAGCCGGAATAGCGTTATTTTCCGAAATGAATGCATCGCCGCTTGTCCTGCTGAAGCCCCTCATGCAATAGATAATGTCTGCTACTCGACATGCCCAAAGGACTACGTGTTGGATAATGAAACATGCATAGGTTTACAACAATGCATATCTACACGTGGCCTCTTTAAGGTGATATTCAACAATACCTGTGTTGACTCCTGTCCACATGAAGCACCTTTAAACCACCAAGGAATGTGTGTACAGAGTTGTCCAGATGACACTGTAGTTGAAGACATGCAATGTGTTGACTCTTCTATGTGTTTACACAGCAGTAGGTTTATATCCAACGGAACATGTGTATCTAAGTGTCCTGGACGATCGCCGTATCTAGCCAATGGCTACTGCTACCCTGCCTGTCCTAAAGACTTTGTCACTACCCCAGGGCAGTTCCAGTGCATTAGCGAATGGTGTTCAACAGAACATGTACAACAGCATGTCCTAAGGAATCTCCATACACCAGGTCAGGCCACTGCTACCCTGTCTGTCCTAAAGACTTTGTTGTCACTACCCCAGGGCAGTTCCAGTGCATTAGCGAATCTGAATGTGTAAAGCTGAAGAAGATGGTGTTCAACAGAACATGTACAGCAGCATGTCCAAAAGAATCTCCATACACCAGGTCAAGCCACTGCTACCAAACCTGCCCACGGGAAACAGCCAGTTTGCCTGATATGAAGTGTGTAAGTTATCAAGAGTGCAGGGTGCGAGGGAACTTTGTGCATGAATCCAAATGTCTACATGAGTGTCCATCAACATTTCCATATAGATTACATAACACGTGTATCTTGGAATGTCCTCACAACACAAGCATATTTCCAGGCAACAAATGCGTTTCTCCATCCGAATGCCCAACGATGAAAGACGCGGTCATGTACAATGGATCTTGTTTACCTACATGCCCTTCTTTCGCTCCATACGTACATTCTAGAAATTGTCTGTCCAAATGTCCGACAGGATTTTTCGCTAAAGGTTCTGACTGCCTAAATAATTACAACTGCCAAAATGTCTTATACAATGGATCCTGTTTATCCTCCTGCCCCAAAGAAGCACCGAACAGAAAGGACAAGAACTGTTACTCCATTTGTCCATCAGAAACCTACAGTTATCAGGCCACATGCATAGATGATAATGATTGTCTGGAGAAGAAATTCTATCTCTTCAATGGTAGTTGTGTGCCAACGTGCCCATCTGGCAGTGCTGGTTTCACAGATTACATTTGTCAACCCGTAATGAGTAATTATTATGCAATTATAGGTGTGTCATTTATTCTGTTGATGGTGACGATGGGTCTGTTTCTGCATGATGTACAATTCCTAAGAATCAAGGCTTATGAATGCACCGGCGAAGCTTCAAGGAGAACAGGTAAGTACAAGTGCATATTATGCAATGTTAAAAAGCAATTGACTATTGTTAATTAAAAATTCATCTTCCTGGCCTTAAAATTCATCTTAAAAAGAAGAATGACATGGAAAATGTTGAAAAAATGGTTTCTTTTCATCCCATATCTCAATCTTTGTTATCCCTTTCAGCCTTATTTTACTTGTATTTTGCTTTTTGTTACTATAGTGTGTTTGTAACTGTGTGCTGTACACTAGGGAGAAAGGTGCTTTACATTTGTGCCATAGTTGCACTGTTATAAGTTTGTGCAATGAGTCCTTCTGACTGATGTCATTGCTCTTTTGTTCATGCATTCCACCATTTGACAACGAACTGATTGCACATGATGAATGTGTTCGTTTCACTGTATACATGATTCTGTGTGTGTATGTGTTAAACTTCAGTTTTGCATGCGAATTTAAACCATACGTACATTATAAAATGATTATCACTTTATGAGGGGGTTATGTAAAATTGTTGCACAATTTATAATTTCAGCTCACTTATAGAGAATGTGACATGGTGGACTTGTGTTACGTCGGACCATCACCCTAGACAACAGCAAGACAACGCTGATCCGTATGAAGGAAACATGGAATTTAATTCCGATGAAGAGATGCTCCCATTGGAAGATCACCGAAATAACCCTCATGATGTGGACATCTGTCATGGAGTTGCGAACTGTTCTTATAATGTGATTGTCCATCCACAAAGAGACGACGACGACGACGTGCCTCTGCTGCAAGCAACATCAGAAGACGACCCTTTGATCCAGCAGGCTGATGATGCTTTCTTATTTGGTGATGGAACTTGCTGAATTTGTCACAACAGTGAAAGACTGGTTGGTAATGTCGGTTATGGCTTGAATACGCCACTGAATATGCATTATTATCTTAGTAATAAAATTACTTTTACCATCCTCAGAAAATGTGCATTTGATATAATTAGGCAAAACATGGATGCTGTCCCAACTTTACAGTTTGACATTGATAACTTGCCTTCCCCTCCAGTCACAGCGTTTCGGCTTCTTTGATTAGCATCTCTATACTCTTGTGTTTGTTTGTTCTCATCATTGTTCTTTTACCTGTTTAAATGTTGCTTCTAAAAATGTGATCTGGCCCATCTATTAACTGCTGTAAAAATGTTAAATAAAGATTTCCCTTCAGCTGACATTCAGTTTTACATATATCTGATGGCCATCAATGTTTTCAAATGTTCATACTACATGTATATAATCTTTCGAAATAATTTCACTTCTAAAACAGACCTTTCGCATCGTACCATAATTGATAAATATAAATCCATAGGAGTGTGTCTGTTTGTTAACTGAATAATGCTTGTAGGACTCACTTACTTAGCATAAAGTTGTTTCACTTCTTGTACTTTTGAGAAAATAAAATATTTTAATGTCAAAACTTCGTTTTAATCTATGGTAAGTTTTATTTTGATGAGACAACACCGTTTATGAAGAGTGGGACTGTGGACATAGCTGGACGTGGGGTCTCACAGTGTTCTCTTCTTCCTTGTAACCTTACAACAGCATTCATTGTCTCAACGTGTATCCACCTCGGACATCATTTGTTTTAGTGATGACTCGAGTGAGTAGGTGAGTTTAATTTTACGCCGCATTCAGCAATATCCTAGCTATATGGCGGCGGTGTGTAAATAATCGAGTCTGGACCAGACAATCCAGTGATCAACAGCATGAGCATCGATCTAAGCAATTGTGATACGATGACATGTGTCAACCAAGTCAGCGAGCCTGACCACCCGATTCCGTTAGTCGCCTCTTACGTGATGACTCGAATCTTATTTATCTTAATATTGTATATCTTTACATTGATAATGGTGGAGATCTAGCACAAGACGCCACCCTAGGGCTGGATATTGCCCCGATTCTCATATTGCGATATATTGCAATAATTCAAGAGATATTGCAATACATATTGTGATATATTGACTGGAAGGTTTCTGTCTAAGTGCGTAAATCATAAAATTCATAATAGCTCATTGTGTGCGACATCGTCTTCTTAGTTGCTGTTACACCATACTTTCAGGCTCCCCGTTCCCATTGTGTATGGGTGTATGCCAGTGGTGCACAGATAAATGATATAGAGCCTTAATGTAGAATGTTTCATTGAAGTAACTGTATTGCAACAAAGTATAAAACCAAGTTCTGTTGTTCTAAAGAGAAACACGATCGTATCCTCGAATGAACTAAACAAGCGCTTGATAATGCTACTTTCCACAAGCCATTCACGTACATATCTTGTAACACTCCCGCTATATCTACCAAGACTTTTAGCCATAGGTCTAACACAGTTATATGATCTAAAACTGGACAGAAAGTTTTCAAAATCTTGCTCACGCCTCACAAAGGATTCACAGAAGGCAATGATGTCATATACGGAGCAATAAGGTTTAAACCAGCATATTCAGAAGAACTTAAATATTTATGTAGTCCTTCAATATTCCAGGATAGGAAACGGCATGATTGGTCTCGACTTTCTGTTCATTCTCGTTCTCTGTTTACATGTAGAGTGCTCTCCCTTGGACTAGTGTTGCTTCCGGGTCCAGATGTAAACAAACCCACGTGGCTGTCTCCTGTCACCACGGTGCTCCAAGAACGACTGTCAGCTTGCTTAATGCCTTGTCGATCTGATATGCAAACATTCTCACCTTTAATCCCATCTTTAATGTTAAACAATAACATAATGCCATAAACGATTTAAGTAGTAGGGATTATTTTATCAAAGCACCGCAACCATTACACGCGTTCTGATTGGTTTGTCGTATTTTCGCACATAACAAGTCATTCGTCACCAGTCGCCCCTTTCCGTAACCTCCAAGAAGACTCGTCCCCCACCATTCGTCACCACTCGCCCCTTTCCGTAACCTCCAAGAAAACTCGTCCCCACTCAATGCTTGTTATGTGCGAAAATACGACAGACCAGTCAGAACGCGCGTAATGGTTGCCGTGCTTTGATACCAATAATCCTGACTACTTAAATTGTTTATGGCATTATGTTATTGTTCAATAAATCATGAAAAATATGTATCGTCGCATTGAAAGTACCAATAAAACAAATCCCATTTGTGATTATTAAACCCTTTTCAGAAATATAATTCGAAATATAAGGTGAACATCTGGCAATAATTACGTCAGAATATGTCTATAACAAATAAGTTTTTCTCTTTCTTTTAGCTGTATCAAGGAGGTTTAATTCTTTAAAATAAATAAGCAAAAAGCAAAAACAGCAATACAATGTATGAGTATTTCGGTGATATTAAGTACCATTGGAATCAAACAGGAATAGAGTTATCGAGGGGCACGAGTCGGTATTCGGCTTGTCCCGGAATAACACGAGTGGGTCACGAATGATAACAAGTATCGATAGGGGGACGAGTCTTCTCGGAGGTTACGGAAAGGGGCGAGTGGTGATGAATGCGGCTTCAGAATATGAAAAAAACCCAGCCGTGTTGAAACAGAGTGATTGTACTGGACTTTGCTAAAAGAATTGTGTACAATATTTTCAGAAGCAAAAGAGTAAAACTGACTAAACATACAAGGCAACAATTGTGTCGTAGTATAGGCTGAGTAGAATGTCGTGTGAGTGTACACCAATTGGCCCCTCTCATAACGTGAGTTATTTCCCTTCCTATTTACTCCGGCTCGAAAGACTTTCAACTTCCGGGACGTACTTGGCAACAATGGCGTCTGTTGATACGTTTCTTGGTAACCGAGAGATATAGAGGTCATGAACGTTACAGTGCTAAAAGCGAACGTCCACGATCATGGCCAATACGTGACGGGTTAGAAGTCTGAGCTTGTTGAGAGGGAGAAATGGGTCAGCAGACTTTGTTACCCAACAAATGCAAGCGCGACAAGGCAGGCAAATCTACCGACTATAGTTTGGCATGAAATGCATGTGGACTCGTTTTTTTGTAAATATCTCTTCATCCAATGACCCAATCGATCTCAAACTATGCAAGTGGATGTTTTGTCAGACAACCTAATCACATTGTAAATCACCGATTTTATGCATTTGTATTAAAGAATCTGTCTATGTAACTGTCAACAAAATAAACAGCAGAACGCAGAGGGAGGGAGCCAATGACCTGTAACAGCGGCAGTGTTGGGTCATAAAGGTAAATGCACGTGCAGTTCATGATAGTTACCAGTGCACTGCACAGTGATAGACCGTTTGGATCATTCACATTGACTACTTCTAGCTGTCATCATGAAAGCTTATTCAGATGATGCTAAACGTTTAATTAGAAATGTGTTGAATTTTTTTTAAAAAGAGAGCAAACGTATCAAACCGATTTATAAGGTGTCGGATTACATGAAACTTACAACTTTTGCTCTTGGCATGAAAAAGAACATCGTGCTAAAAATTGTGAAAAATAAACCAACAACCAATAAACAAAACCTTGTACAAAAAGGTAGGCAAGTTAGATTCTTTTGACATCAGGGTCATCAGAGATGTCATTCGCCGGCTATTTGCTAGAAATGAACACCTGTCCACAAGAACGTTAAAACACATCCTTGCAGAGGATCACGACAGCAAACTACTGCTCAAATTTGGATACAAGTACAAGAAGGTAGCAAACCAGAAACTTGTAATGTGTGAGAGATCTGATATTGTGAAAATAAGGTGTAACTATCTGAGAGAAATTAAGCAGGCAAGAGAGGATGGGTTCGAACCTATATATCTGGATGAGACCTGGGTCAATACAAACCATACTGCTGCCAGACAGTGGCTACCCACTGATCCCAGTGATGGTAGGAAAATACCAACAGGCAAAAGTGAACGTTTAATCGTTCTTCATGCTGGTTCCCACCGTGGATTCCTACCTGGGTTTGATCTGGTATTTCGGTCAGAGAGCACAGATGGTAGGGACTATCATACAGAAATGAACTTTCACACAGTGTGTTGAGGAACAATTGTTGCCAGCTCTGCCTTACAAAAGTCTTGTTGTCATGGACAATGCTCCCTATCACAGTGTTCGAGATTCAAACAATAGGTGCCCAACTTCCAATACAAAGAAGTCAGATATGCAGCAATGGCTTACAAATAACAATATACAATTTTCAATTAAGGCCACTAAACCACAGTTGTACTCTTTGATTAAACCTAACAAACCTCCACCCACATATAACATTGACAACATGCTACACCAACATGGCCATAAGGTCTTGAGATTACCACCGTACCACTGTGATCTCAACCCAATCGAACTTATCTGGGGAGACCTTAAAAGTACAGTGGCCCGGAAATCAATCATTCAAGTTGAATGATGTCAAGCACATTGTCAACACTTCTATATGTGACATTGACATTGCACGCTAGCATGCATGTGTTGAACATGTCAAGAAGGTGGAGAAAGAGTACTGGCTCAAAGATGGCTTGAAGGAGCAAACAGTTAATCCAGTTGTCATTCGTCTGGACACTGATGACTCCTCTGTGGAAGAATGGAGTGAACTTGATGAAGTTTAATTCTGTTATTATATTTACAGATAATAATAGTATCCAGCCAGATATGCTCAAAGAAATATAACTTCTTTTAACAATGACAGCACTGACTAATTCCAACGACTTATAGTGTAACATGAAACACTCATTTCACATAAAATTATCATGAAAATATAAATATTAACTGTCTATATGCTTAAAGCTATTATTAATGCATTGCTTAATTTGGAATGTGAACGACATCAGAACATAACACTTTTGTCTTCATTCTTTTCTTCAATGAGTGTGCATGATTGTGTGTGCTTGTGTCCGAGGGAACGGGGTTTTAACGGGGCTTTATGTTGAGTTCTAACCATAGGTGGTCCGATTAATGATTTAGTGTAAATATACTTTCTGTATTCTTTAAATGCATTTCCACTTAGGTACTGCATAAACAAAATATGACATTAACATTACAAATTTAAAGATTTTAACCTACAGAATAATTCTCACTAATGGGTTTTGTGGTTAATGTTGAACAACTCAGAGAAACAAACTCCGTATGATGGTTAACAGTTGGCACCCACCTTACCCTATTCACGACCTGTGACACCTCTTCATACCTGTCACGTGCATAGCTGACCTACATTGACGAACGTTGACCTTTATGACCCAACACTGCCGCTGTTACAGGTCATTGGCTCCCTCCCTCTGCAAGCAGTCTGCGTTCTGCTGTTTATTTTGTTGACAGTTACATAGACAGATTCTTTAATACAAATGCATAAAATCGGTGGTTGTCTGACAAAACATCCACTTGCATAGTTTGAGAACGATAGGGTCATTGGATGAAGAAATATTTACAAAAAAAACGGGTCCACATGCATTTCATGCCAAGCTATAGATATTATTATCAAATTCAGGGTCAAATGGCTATTACTGGTCTCTGAATGGGCGGACTGTTGACAGAATTAGATTTGATGAAAAAGTGTGGAATGACATGCTGCACCAACTGAACTCATTTTACTTCACTAATGTAACTCCAGAATTATTCTCAAGAAGAGTGAAAAGGAGTATTCCACTTTATAATTTCTTCAGATTTCAAATGTTCCTATGAATGTACCCGTGGAGGTCCGGGTTGGAATTGGTCTTCAGCAACCCATGCTTGTAGTAAAAGGCGACTAACGGGATACGAAGGGCAGGCTCGCTGACTTGGTACACATGTCATCGTATCCTAATTGCGTAGATCGATGCTCGTGTTGTTGATCACTGGATTGCCTCGTGTTGTTGAACCTGGGTTAGAATTGCTTGTAGATCGATGCTCGTGCTGTTTATCGATGCTCGTGCTTTTTATCACTTGAGTGTCTGGTCCACACTCGACTATTTACAAACCACCGCTATATAGATGGAATATTGCTGAGTGCAAAACAAACAAAACACACACAACTAGTGCGGTGTAAAATTAAACTCACTCACTCACTCGAGTCATCACTAAAACAAATGATGTCCGAGGTGGATACACGTTGAGACAATGAATGCTGTTGTAAGGTTACAAGGAAGAAGAGAACACTGTGTGACTCCACTCCAAGCTATGTCCACAGTCCCACTCTTCTTTATAAACGGTGTTGTCTCATCAAAACAAAACTTACCATAGATTAAAACGAAGTTTTGACATTGAAATATTTTATTTTCTCAAAAGTACAAGACCTGAAAAACCTTTATGCTAAGTAAGTGAGTCCTACAAGCATTATTCAGTTAACAAACAGACACACTCCTATGGATTTATATTTATCAATTATGGTACAATGCTAAAGGTCTGTTTTAGAAGTGAATTTACAAAAGTGGAAAGAATATTGATCATGAACATTTGAAAACATAATGGAAATCCCTCATCCTATTACCTGTTGGTAGATGTAAAACTGAATGTCAAATGAAGGGAAATCTTTCGCGATTATTTAAGATTTATACAGCAGTTAATATATAATAATAATATAATATAATAGTCCATTTATCCCTCGCATTTCTCCATGCACAATGCATGCTCGAAGTGGCCAAACAATCTCATTATTATAACCCCGGATACCCCAAGCTATCTGTGAGGCGCTAGAAGGTTTATGGTTGCATGACATCCCACCGGGTACCGATTTAATATTTGATAAGTTAACAGAGGCAATTTTGGAACAAACTCACTTGCCTAAGATGAGACCACATGTATAGGTCAGATCGCGTTTTAGGAGGCAACGTATAAACAGTTAAATGAACGATGATGATGACAAAGAAACACAATGGTGAGTGAGTTTAGTTTTACGCCGCACTCAGCACTATTCCAGCTATATGGCGGCGGTCTGTAAATAATCGAGTCTGGACCAGACAATGCAGCGATCAACAGCATGAACATCGATCTTCGCAAGTGGGAACCGATGACATGTGTCAACCAAGTCCCGTTAGTCGCCTCTCCCTACAAGCAAAGTCGCCTTTTGGGGCAAGCTTGGGGTGCTCAAGACATATTCTACCCCGGATCTTCACGGGTCAGAAACACAAGACGATAGAGATGCTAATGAAAGAAAGAAAGCGATTGTAGGCTACTTGCGCTACCACAGTCGTAAGTTAAAGTATGGGCGTTACGATCATCTTAGCGCTACGATTGCTCTGAGGAACGGGGCCCTAGACTGGACTCAAGTGGAGGTAAGTTATCAATATCAAACTGTAAAGTTGGGACAGCATCCATGTTTGCCTGATTATATTAAATGCACATTTTCTGAGGATGGTAAAAGTAATTTTATTACTTAGATATTGATGATGCTTATTCAGAGGGTATTCAAGCCATAACCGACATTACCAACCAGTCTTTCACTGTTGTGACAAATTCAGCAAGTTCCATCACCAAATAAGAAAGCATCATCAGCCTGCTGGATCAAAGGGTCGTCTTCTGATGTTGCTTGCAACACAGGCACGTCGTCGTCGTAGTCTCTTTGTGGATGGACAATCACATCATAAGAACAGTTCGCAACTGCATGACAGATGTCCACATCATGAGGGTTATTTCGGTAATGTTCCAATGGGAGCATCTCTTCATTGGAATTACATTCCACGTTTCCTTCGTACGAATCAGCGTTGTCTTGCTGTTGTCTAAGGTGATGGTCCGACGTAACACACTCCACCATGTCACATTCTCTATAAGCGAGCTGTAATTATAAATTGTGCAACAATTTTACATTTTTTGGGATGTATATATTAGAACACATACACACAAACACACACACACAATGCATGGCGAAAACTTAAGAATCGTGTTTCGTGCAGTTCAAACATTCATATGTGAGTGAGTATGGGTTTTGGCCGCATTTAGGAATATTCCAGCAATATCATGGCAGGTGACATCAGAAATGGGCTTCACAGATAGTACCCATGTGGGGAATCGAACCCGGGCCTTTAGCGTGGCAAGCGGACGCTTTAACTAATAGGCTACCGCCCTTCGTGAAGTGACAAACAATGTACCATGAACGTATGGTGTGAATGCACATACAAAGTTAACACTGACACACACAATATGTATAACACGTATGCAATAAAAGACACATGTATTTCATTGTGTGCTATCGTTGTCAAACACAAGGCATAAATTAGAGTAATCACGTGAGAAGAATTCAAGTCCAAACAGTACTACAGGGCACGTTACGTAACCAAAATGCAACTCCTGGCACAAATATACGGCAGCTTATATGGACTTACCTGTTCTCCTGGAAGCTCTGCCGGTGAACATAGATGAAAAGGAAACCACTTTTTAAAAAGGAATTCCATGTCATTCTGCCAGGAAGATGAATTTTAAGGTTTTGCAATAATTTTTAATTAATTTTGGAAGTGCTTTTAACACTCCATAAATGCACTTGTACTTACCCGTTCTCCTTGAAGCTTCGCCGGTGCATTCATTAGCCTTGATGTCTTAGGATTATACATCATGCAAAACAGACACATCGTCACCGTCAACAGAAAAAATGACGTCGCTATAATTGCGTGATACACGTCTGTTAAGGGTTGACAAATGTAACCCCTGTAACCAGCACTGCCAGATGGGCACGTTGGCACACAACTACCATTGGAGAGATAGAATTTCTTCTCCTGACAATCATATTGATCAATGCATGTGGCCTGATAATTGTAGGTTTCTGATGGACAAATGGAGTAACAGTTCTTGTCCTTTCTGTTTGGTGCTTCTTTGGGGCAGGAGGATAAACAAGATCCATTGTATAAGACATTTTGGCAGTTGTAATTATTTAGGCAGTCAGAACCTTTAGCGAAAAATCCTGTCGGACATTTGGACAGACAATTTCTAGAATGTACGTATGGAGCAAAAGGAGGGCATGTAGGTAAACATGATCCATTGTACATGACCGCGCCGTTTATCGTTGGGCATTCGGATGGAGAAACGCATTTGTTGCCTGGAAATATGCTTGTGTTGTGAGGACATTCCAAGATACACGTGTCATGTAATCTATATGGAAACGCTGATGGACAGTCATGTAGACATTTGGATTCATGCACAAATTTCCCTCGCGTCCTGCAGTCTTGATAACTTACACACTTCATATCAGGCAAACTGGCTGTTTCCTGTGGGCAGGTGGGTAGCAGTGGCTTGACCTGGTGTATGGAGATTCTTTTGGACATGCTGTTGTACATGTTCTGTTGAACACCATCTTCTTCATCTTTACACATTCAGATTCGCTAATGCACTGGAACTGCCCTGGGGTAGTGAGAACAAAGTCTTTAGGACAGGTAGGGTAGCAGTAGCCATTGGCTACGTACGGCGATCGTCCAGGACACTTAGATACACATGTTCCGTTGGATATAAACCTACTGCTGTCTAAACACATAGAAGAGTCAAAACATTGCATGTCTACAACTACAGTGTCACCTGGACAACGTTGTACACACATTCCTTGGTGGTTTAAAGGTGCTTCATGTGGACAGGAGTCAACACAGGTATTGTTGAATATCACCTTAAAGAGGCCACGTGGAGATATGCATTGGTGTAAACCTATGCATGTTTCATTATCCAACACGTAGTCCTTGGGGCATGTCGAGTAGCACACGTTATCTATGGCATGAGGAGCTTCAGCAGGACAAGCAGCGATGCATTCATTTCGGAAAATAACGCTATTCCGGCTGACACATTCAGTGACCAAAATGCAATGATTCCCAAGAAAATATTTCTCTTTCGGGCAAAGTGCTGTGCATGACCCCCTGGTCACTGAACATAGCTGTAGGTGGACACTCGGGAACACAGGTATTGTTGTATATGAAATGACCCAGCTTGTCAGTACATTCCTGTTTTGATAGACATATTGTTCCATTTACGGTGACAGATTTGTCAGGTGGACATGACGAATGACAGACACCTTGTAGAATCGACTGTTTCTCAGGAGGACAAGCTTTAACACATGTTGTGTTGTCTTCGGATTTATTTGTTACAGTATCAGCTGGGCATTCCTTACGACAAACCCAATCTTTCGTGAAAGGCGCGGACGAAGGGCAGGATGCCACACATGTACCATTAAACAGAACCTGGTTGTTGTTGGACATGCAGTATGTCCCATTCAAACAACGTGATCCTATCCTGATCGTATGTACAGGACACGTGTTGTAGCAGGTGGAAGTTTCCTGTTGGTAAAACGTCCCCGGCGGACAGGAATGCACGCATGTTCTCCCGTAGATCACAAATGACTTTCCTCGACATTCCTGTGCACTAATACAGTCCCAATAATTGGGGAAGTACAAAGGATCGGGGAAATAAAGAGGAGCTGTTGAGGGACACCTGTACGTGCCTACTTCAACCCAACAGGACAACAAGACACACGCTATCAGAATGAACATGATTGTTACATGTGCTTCAACGGTGAGGCCAGTCTTCCACACCCGGCTACGTGTGATTCCAGCATATGGGTGTTGCTATCTGAAAAAAAGGATAAGTTTGTTGACTTTGACGATCCAGGTATATAATGAGACGTATTGAATCGCATTAAAATGAACCCATGTAGTATATCAGCCATGAAACCACCTGAAATCATTAATATTGCAACCACGTATGCAATAACTAAGGTTCGTACAGTTTGCATAGTGCAATTAGAATATAGTTGACTGGAAGCAGACTCTATAGTCCTTTGATTTCCCTGACACGTAAATGTAAGGTAAGCTGAGCTAAAGTAAAGTAAGGTTGGATACAATGTTGTGAAGTAAGTAAGTAGAATAACACAAGGTAAAATAGGTTCAGGTTGAATAAGGTGAGGTAACATACACAGACTTAATTATAGTGAGATTGGACATGATGATATAAAGTAAGGTTAGGTCGGGTAATGTAAGGTAGGGTAGGGTAGGGTGTGGGAGAATAAAGTAGGGTAAGGTACAGTAAGGTAGGGTAGGGTAGGGTGTGGGAGAATAAGGTAGGGTAAGGTACAGTAAGGTAGGGTAGGGTAGGGTGTGGGAGAATAAGGTAGGGTAAGGTACGGTAGGGTGTGGGAGAATAAGGTAGGGTAAGGTAGGATAGGGCAGGGTGTGGGAGAATAAGGTAGGGTAAGGTAGGGTAGGGTGTGGGAGAATAAGGTAGGGTAAGGTACAGTAAAGGGTAGGGTAGGGTGTGTGAGGAGAATAAGGTAGGGGTAAGGTAGGGTAGGGTAGGGTGTGGGAGAATAAGGTAGGAGTGGAGTAAGGTAGGGTAGGGTGTGGTAGGATAAATAAGGTAGGGTAAAGGTAGAGTAAGGTAGGGTGGGGTGTGGGAGAATAAGGTAGGGTAAGGTAGGGTAGGGTGTTGGAGAATAAGGTAGGAGGGGTAAGGTAGGGTGGGGGTGGGAGTAAGGTAAGGTAGTAAAGGTAGGGTAGGGTGTGGGAGAATAAGGTAGGGTAAGGTAGAAGGTAGGGGTAGGGTAGGGTGTGGGAGAATAAGGTAGGGTAAGGTACAGTAGGGTAGGGGTAGGGTGTGGGAGAATGTGGGAGAATAAGGTAGGGTAAGGTAGGGTGTGGGAGAATAAGGTAGGGTAAGGTAGGGTAAAGGTAGGGTAAGGTAGGGTAGGGTGTGGGAGAATAAGGTAGGGGTAAGGTAGGGTGTGGGAGGAGAATAAGGTAGGGTAAGGTAGGGTAAGGTGTGGGAGAATAAGGTAGGGTAAGGTAGGGTAAAGGTAGGGTAAGGGTAGGTAGGGTGTGGTAGGGTAAGGTAGGGTAAGGTAGAGTAAGGTAGGTAAAAGGTAGAAGGTAGGAGTAAGGTAGGTGGTAAGGGCAGGTAAAAGGTAGGGTAAGGTAGGGTAAGGTAGGGTAAGGTAGAGTAAGGTAGGTTAGGAGGTAGAGTAAAGGTAGAGTAAAGGCAGAGTAAGGTAAGGGAATTAAGGTAGGGTAAGGCAGAGTAAAGGTAGGGTAAAGGTAGGGTAAGGTAGAGTTAGGTAGGGTAAGGTAGGGTAAAGGTAGAGTAAAAGGTAGAGGTAAAGGCAGAGTAAAGGTAGGGTAAAGGCAGACTAAGGTAGGAGTAAGGTAGGGTAAGGTAGAGTTAGGTAGGGTAAGGTAGGGTAAGGTAGAGAGTAAAGGTAGAGGTAAAGGTAGGTAAGGTAGAGTAAGGTAGGAGTAAAAGGTAGAGTAAGGTGGGGTGGGTAGGTAGGTGGGTGGGGTAAGGTGGGGTAAGGTAGAGTAAAGGTAGGGTAAGGCAGAGTAAGGTGTAAGGGTAAAGGTAGAGTTAAGGTAAAATAAGGTAGGGTATGGTAGGGTAAGGTAAAAGTAGGTAGGGTAAGGTAGAGGAGTAAGGTGGGTAAGGGGTAAGGTAGGGTAAGGTAGGGTAAGGTAGAGTAAGGTAGGGTAAGGTAGGGTAAGGTAGGGTTAGGTAGGGTAAGGTAGGGTAAGGTAGAGTAAGGTAGGGTAATATTAGTGCGCGAATGGTACAAGGACGCGGCCTAGAATGAACACTTGCCACACGTACGCACGCACACTCACACTTTAGATGTATAGGCCTTTTCCTGAACCGACAACAATAATAATAATCATAATAAACATAATGAAACGATGATAACACGGTGGACAGCATTCCGTCAAGCAACAGTCCAGTACAAGCTCCCTAGCTTTAGAGTGTAGGTTACCTGTGTTTGTTGTGGAGACACATCGTGCCCTACACCATCTACCAACACCTGGCCTTACATCATCTACCAACACCTGGCCTTACATCATCTACCAACACCTGGCCTACACCACCTACCAACACCTGGCCCTACAACGTCTACTGACACCTGGCCTTACAACGTGTACCAGCACCTGGCCCTACACCACCTACCAACACCTGGCCTTACAACGTGTACCAACGCCTGGCCCTACAACGTGTACCAACACTTGACCTTACAGCATCTACCAACACCTGGCCCTACAACATCTACCAACACTTGACCCTACAACATCTACCAACACCTGACCCTACAACATCTACCAACACCTGGCCCTATAACATCTACCAACACCTGGCCATACACAATCTACCAACACCTGGCCATACATCTATCAACACCTGGCCCTTCATCTACCAACACCTGGCTTACAACATCTACCACCACCTGGCCCTACAACGTCTACCAACACCTGGCCCTACAACATCTACAAACACCTATCCGTACAACACCTATCCGTACAACACCTACCAACATCTGACCCTACAACACCTACCAACACCTGACCTTACAACACCTACTAACACCTGGCCCTACAACGTCTACCAACATCTGACCCTACAACACCTACCACAATCTGACCTTACAACACCTACCAACACCTGGCCCTACAACATCTACCAACACCTGACCCTACAACATCTACCAACACCTCACCCTACAACGTGTACCAACACCTAGTCCTACAACATCTACCAACACCTGGCCTTACAACATCTACCAACACCTGGCCCCACAACATCTACCAACACCTCACCCTACAACGTGTACCAACACCTGGCCCTACAACATCTACCAACACCTGGCCCTACAACGTGTACCAACACCTGGCCCTACAACATCTACCAACACCTGGCCTTACAACCTGTACCAGCACCTGGCCGTACAACATCTACCAACACCTGACCCTACAACATCTACCAACACCTATCCGTACAACACCTACCAACATCTGACCCTACAACACCTACCAACACCTGACCCTACAACATCTACCAACACCTGGCCCCACAACATCTACCAACACCTGACCCTACAACATCTACCAACACCTATCCGTACAACACCTACCAACATCTGACCCTACAACACCTACCAACACCTGGCCCTACAACATCTACCAACACCTGGCCCCACAACATCTACCAACACCTCACCCTACAACATCTACCAACACCTGGCCGTACAACATCTACCAACACCTGGCCGTACAACATCTACCAACACCTATCCGTACAAAATGCACCAACACCTGGCCCTACAATATCTACTAACACCTGATCCTACAACATCTGCCAACACCTATCCGTACAACATCTACCAACACCTATCCGTACAACATCTACCAACACATATCCGTACACCACCTACCAACACCTGACCCTACAGTACCTACCAACACCTGGCCCTACAACATCTACCAACTCCTGAACCTACAACATCTACCAACACCTGGCCCTACAACATCTACCAACACCTATCCGTAAAACACCTACCAACACCTGACCCTACAACACCTACCAACACCTGGCCCTACATCATCTACCAACACCTGACCCTATAACATCTACCAGCACCTGGCCCTACAACATCTACCAACACCTGGCCCTACAACATCTACCAACACCTGACCCTACAACATCTACCAACACCTGACCCTACAACATCTACCAACACCTGACCCTACAACATCTACCAACACCTGGCCCCTACAACATCTACCAACACCTGCCCTACAACATCTACCAACACCTGACCCTACAACATCTACCAACACCTGACCCTACAACATCTACCAACACCTGGCCCTACAACATCTACCAACACCTGACCCTACAACATCTACCAACACCTGACCCTATAACATCTACCAGCATGTGGCCCTACAACATCTACCAACACATATCCGTACAACATCTACCAACACCTATCCGTAAAACACCTACCAACACCTGACCCTACATCTACCAACACCTGACCCTACAACACCTACCAACACCTGACCCTACAACATCTACCAACACCTGGCCCTACAACATCTACCAACACCTGACCCTACAACATCTACCAACACCTGACCCTACAACATCTACCAACACCAGACCCTACAACATCTACCAACACCTGGCCTACACAACATCTACCAACATCTGGGCCTACAACGTGTACCAGCACCTGGCCCTACACCACGTACCAACACCTGGCCCTACAACATCTACCAACACCTGACCCTACAACATCTACCAACACCTGACCCTACAACATCTACCAACACCTGGCCCTACAACATCTACCAACACCTGGCCCTACAACATCTACCAACACCTGACCCTACAACATCTACCAACACCTACTACAACATCTACCAACACCTGGCCCTACAACATCTACCAACACCTGACCCTACAACATCTACCAACACCTGGACCCTACAACAACAACACCTGACCCTACAACATCTACCAACATCCTGGCCCTACAACATCTACCAACACCTGGCCCTACAACATCTACCAACACCTGGCCCTACAACATCTACCAACACCTGACCCTACAACATCTACCAACACCTGACCCTACAACATCTACCAGCACCTGGCCCTACACCACGTACCAACACCTGGCCCTACAACTTGTACCAACACCTGGCCCTACAACATCTACCAACACCTGACCCTACAACACCTACCAACATCTGACCCTACAACACCTACCAACACCTGACCCTACAACATCTACCAACACCTGGCCCTACAACATCTACCAACACCTGACCCTACAACATCTACCAACACCTATCCGTACAACACCTACCAACATCTGACCCTACAACATCTACCAACACCTGGCCCTACAACATCTACCAACACCTGGCCGTACAACATGTACCAACACCTGGCCCTACAATATCTACTAACACTTGATCCTACAACATCTACTAACACCTATCCGTACAACATCTACCAACATCTATCCGTACAACATCTACCAACACCTGGCCCTACAGCACCTACCAACACCTGGCCCTACAGCATCTACCAACACCTGACCTTACAACATCTACCAACACCTGACCCTACAACATCTACCAACACCTATCCGTACAACACCTACCAACACCTGGCCCTACATCATCTACCAACACCTGACCCTATAACATCTACCAGCACCTGGCCCTACAACATCTACCAACACCTGGCCCTACATCATCTACCAACACCTGACCCTATAACGTCTACCAGCATCTGGCCCTACAACATCTACCAACACATATCCGTACAACATCTACCAACACCTATCCGTAAAACACCTACCAACACCTGACCCTACATCTACCAACACCTATTCGTTCAACACCTACCAACACCTGACCCTACAACATCTACCAACACCTGACCCTACATCACCTACCAACACCTGGCTCTACAACATCTACTAACACCTACCTTGGGTAATATTAGCACAGGAGAAATATGGACGCGCTCGTGAAAACGAAAGAGAAAGTAGGAAGTGACCGTCCTTGACATTACAGTCCGGATGTTGAGTCATAACACAGAAGTCAGAGTAGCTTGCCACTGCTGACAACGAGTGGTAAATTTAACACACTGACCAGGTATGTGAATTGTTCGTTGTTAAAAAAGCATGCAGTGATTGCCTTTCTTTTTGTGATACGAGAGGTCAATGAGTGTGATATGAGACACAAGCGCTGACCCGGTTACAGTTAGCACGTACCACAGAGGGGGCCAGACACTGAGATAGGCTTCTGAGGATCCTTGGCACCGAGATCTTCGACAGAGGAAGGCTTCCTCGTCATATTTGTCCCCAGACAGTGACGATTATTGCTATCCGCTCTTGCATTGTCTTGTCAGATTTGATTGTTAGCCAAATGTAACGATTTCAGGATCGCGAAAGGGAAATGCATAGGTTGGATTTCCCAGATCTATAAATAAACCTTTCACGGAACCGGAACCGGTTTCTGGGAATAGGTGGGACAATCCTCAATCGATACCAAGACGCGTTTGCGTTAGTATGTATGTGCTGGGGTGGGTTTATTCTAACAGTTAGGTGAGATTAGAATAGTATGAGCCAAGTCTCTCTTAACGGCTTGTCAACAACTGGAGGGCAAAAACATAATCATGCTATATAGTACATAGTGGTTTTTCTTGTAGAGAAAGCGGGCGAGCCTACAAGAAAGCGGTCCGATTGAAACTCAGGACACCACAATGTTCAACCTTAGAATCAAAGCGGTTAATATTTCTATTTTCATATTTGTAATGTCAAGACAAGCTGGTAGACATTTCATATGCATGCTGCCTTTATACATCTTTATTATATAGGTAGCATTTTTCCTGAACCACAATTGGTCAAAAGACCGTCACATGATTGACTACAAAACACGATATTGACTTGGGTTACTAAACGTAGACAAGGAATCCCGTACGAAGGGGCTTCCCCCGCTTTTCAGCCAATCAGATCACTCGGATAGATGGCACAGTGTGTGCATTAAAAGTTTATGTTAAAACCCGTTTCTCTTTCATTATATAATAAAACAATTATAGACTCTTGTAGAGGTCGATATCGGTTTTTATTAACCTGAGAAAAACAATATCGACCTCGCAAGCTCGGTCGATATTGTTTTACTCAGGTCAATAAAAACCGATATCGACCTCTACAAGAGTTTATAATTATATAATGTCACACTCAGATATGTATGTGGGACAATATGAGTTGTTGCATACACCTGGGTTGTGAATGTTCCATATTAATGGTCAACTTTTAAGCATTTTCACAACCGTACCATTGATTCCGATTCTGTGTTGGTTTGCTTTATGGTCGAATACACATCCTTTAACATACCCAAAACAGTTTGCGCGATTCGTGGAAGAAAATGACGTTGTTTGTCTGCTGTTTAACGCTGCATTCAGCAATATTCCGGGCGAAGGCGGTCTGTACATCATCTGCCTGGACCAGCTGATGACCAGCATCATCAGCATTGATCTAATCAGTTTTGATACATGACACACGACAAGCCTGAGTTGCTGAATACCAATTTTAGAACAATTCTAGAAAAAGACGCCTTGAATCGCCGGGTTAGAATTGGTCTTCAGTAAGCCATGCTTGTCGTAAGAAGTGACTAACGGGATCGGTTGGTCAGGCTCGCTGACTTGGTTGGCACATGTCATCGGTTCCCAGTTGCGTAGATCGATGATCATAATGCTGATCACTGGATTGTCTGGTCTCGACTCGATTACTTACAGACCTCCGCCACATAGCTGGAATATTTCTGAGTGCGGCGTAAAAATATACTCACTCACTCACTCATTGACTCTGAAGTTCACCTGCTGTAATTTGGTCAGACACACCGTACAAGTGTGTGAGTGAGTTAATGTTTAGTGTCACGTCAGCAATAATTCGGCTATGTCGTGAGCGAGCCTGACCACCCGACCCCTTTGTCACCTCTTACGACAAGCATGGGTTACTGAAGATCAATTCTAACCCGGATCTTCACTTCCTGGATTCAGAGTCAATAGCTTTATCATATTACACTGTGCAAGTGTTATTTAAACACCTTTTGTTAACAAATCATTAGTGGACTCTTGCAGATATAGCAATGGCCACATGGAGTATTGCTGGTAAAAATCATTTACTGATTCTTGCAGACGTTGTAGAAATAACAATGGCCACATCGAGTGATCGCGATACCCTGATCCAGTTGGAAGAAGATGAGGAGGAGGACTTTGAGCTGACACAGCGTCGTATAGAGGCTGAGAGAGCTGCTAGGGAGGAAGAAGCGTTCAAAAGGAACACCCTCCATCTTGACATCCCCAAACTTCCAGACGGAAAAACACACCATCTTTTCATTTCCCACAGCAACGACCCTCCAGAAGAAGAAGCATGGGCAGAGGAACTGGTCAACACCATGGAACGAGACTTCGGCTTGAAATGTCTTTGGCCAAAACGAGACTTCACTCCTGGCCATGATGTGGGATCTTTGATTCAGACAGGAATCATGTCGTCCATGAAGGTCGTCTTTGTTCTGTCCCCTGCTTCCATGGAAAGCCGATGGTGCCTATATGAGCGGAATTTTGCTTTTGGCATTTCTGTTGAAAGTAAGGAAAATCTCATCATTCCTGTTATGTTGAGCCAGTGCGACTTCCCAGGCATACTGAAGACAATGAATTATATTGATGTACCTGCTGGAGAGGACTATGCCTTCAAAATCCGTCGATGCTTTGACGAAGACACACGTACGTATAATGTAATTTCTGAGTTGAACCTTCAATAATTCATTACAAAACACTAATGCTTTCAGGGGTTAGTTTCTGATTATGAGGGGATAAGGATGTAAACACTTCTATGGGGTTTTCTCAAGTTATAACCGGAGTGTCAGTTTAATGTTGAAAAATGTGCGTGCAAGTGGGAGATGTTTATCATTTCGAAGGGAATCCCAGGAGAATAACGAGATGAAACCTTGGGTTAAGATCCTAGATGTACAGACAATGGCGGGTGACATAGTTTACTCATTAGTTGCAGCCCTTGAAATCATTTAGCCAAAATATGTAATTTTACCGTAGGTGTTTTGGGTGCTCCAAAATGTGTCAGGCTTCTTCTTCCTTAGAAAGCATTGTGAGACTTGTACCTACCTTAAAGATCACATATACCCTACTGGGTACAAATACATAAATCACTAAGTGGCATCGTTATAAATGAAACCCCGTCATTAAAACTACTCATTTCGACCTTTAATTGACTTAAATCGACCTTTTTGACAACAGTGCACAATTCTCACCCGCGAACGAAATTTCAACCAATCAGAGCGGCGCGTCTCTGTGACGTCATATGAGGAATAGCTTTGAGGGCCAAAGCAGAATTCATCTACATTTTAGGGGGTGAATTATCTTGTTTACAGGCTTGTATAAACCTGAAATCGTGACAATTGTTGTGGAAAATGAAAGCTATATAATCTCACAATCTACTGTCATTTAATTTTGTTTCCTGCTTTGCCTAGTTTCCGAGTTACAACTTGTTTTCATAGACGATTCTGTCAAAATCGATTGGTGTCGTTAGGCCCTATTTGTATAATGACTGATCTAAATTGATCCCATTTCTGTGTTTTTTTACCTCGATATTTAATCATGTCATGTAAAAATCTGTTTGTATTCTCAAAACAGTGTCGGCCCATTAGTTTTCACATGCAATACAGCAATTAATACTCCCTTGTTGTAACCCGTGTTAGGTGGTATAAACCTACACATGTTATTTGTCATCATTCACTTGATGGTCAGTTAATGAATTTATAACAGGTATAATTAGTGGGAACACACTTAGATTACCGGACAAAGGTTCCCATTTGGCATTTCTTGTGTCTGGAGTAAATATTCAACATTATAAACATCGATCAAAGGATTAACCGATAACACGCTGATTGATTAATTACTTTTATCTTACACAGCGGAATTGTCAAAAGGTAGTGTTTATGTATGTAGATTTACTAATCTATACTGAATACACTCTGCCGTGTCGGTGTCCGCGTAAAAACAACGTCCTTCTTTCAAAGGATTAACCGCCAATACATTGATTGATTGCCCATTATTGGCTAACTAAATTACTGTTTTTAAAGAAAGGCGGACATTATGCAATTAGTTGCCAGGTGTGCTATCTTGGGTGACCAATGAGACTATACACCAATACCTGAAAAGATTTATCACTTTTTCGTATATTAAACTGTTAAAAGACACATCATTTGGAACAGTTTTGTGGATATTAATGGATACATTCCTAGAACAAGGTAATGGCCTGATATTGTTCCTATAACTTTAATCTGTTTTAATTTTAATATTTGCATTTTGTTTTTTATTCATTTGTCGTAGCATTCAACAGAATCATTGTTTTCGCCGTGAAGTGTAATGAGACAGACAACATACACTAGGGTGTGTGTGCTAAGTATGATTCACATTGGCAAACTATAAAATGTCTAGATATTACAGTTCTGTTATAAATTCACTATAAGTATCAGCAGATCGTCTACTTTTTATTTAGTTTCAAAATGCATACAAGTATGATAATAAACTAATTAGGATTATAAGCCAAATATAAAGACACACATTGACTAGTATCTACATACTGGTGAGTGCACATTAACCATGTGAATGTAGTAAGAAATTTATCGCGCAGTATTGTGACTTCGACCCCCACCTCGCTTCCGTGGAAGAAATCGTTATGTTATAAGTTGTGTCATGCAAAATCCGTTTGGTTATGATGCCAATACATATTTAACTACGAGTAGAAAGTAGTTTTGATTTTCTAACTTGATGAAATCAAACTATAATCTCATTAATTCTAACAGACTTTACGATTTTCAAAAATGGCGGCGCCCTATCGGGAACATCCGCCAGTCTGAGGATAAATGCTATTTAGGTTTGTTTTCACGGAGTTACAAAATCAAAACTACTTTCTACTGGTAGTAAAATATGTATTTTATTGATATCCAATAGGATTTTGCATGACATAGCGTATAACATAACAATTTCTCTCCTGGCAGCGAGGTGGGTGTCAATATAATACTACTTACAATATTATTGTTACTTCCACCACAACCTCACTTCCGAGGAAGAAATCGTTATGTTACAAGTTGTGTCATGGAAAATCTTTATGGTCATCAATCATATACATATTTTACTACAACTAGTAAGTAGTTTTGATTCTTTTACTTCCGTGAAGCGATCTGAACACAAGTAAGATATCGTTTCAGGCTTCCACAAACATAACCCATTTAGCACGAACTGCGGGGTCCTGTGGAAATCTGTGCATGGTGACACCATCGCCCGACCCCTAGGAGCAATTGACGACAAAGCAACGATTCGGCATGTCGTCGTTGATGTCGAGAAATCATCAAAATGATGAGCGTGCTACACACTTTCTATACAACTATAGTTTGGCATGAAATGCATGTGGACCCGTTTTTTTGTAAATATCTCTTCATCCAATGACCCAATCGATCTTAAACTGTCCAAGAGGATGTTTTGTCAGACAACCTAATCACATTGTAAATCACCGATTTTATGCATTTGTATTAAAGAATCTGTCTATGTAACTGTCAACAAAATAAACAGCAGAACGCAGAAGGCTTGCAGAGGGAGCCAGTGACCTGTAACAGCGGTACTGTTGGGTCATAAAGGTAAATGCACGTGCATTTCATGATAGTTACCTGTGCACTGCACAGTGATAGACCGTTTGGATCATTCACATTGAGTACTTCTAGCTGTCATCTTGAAAGCTTATTCAGATGACGCTAAAAGTTTATTTAGCAATGTGTTTAATTTTTTTTAAAAGAGAGCAAACGTAGCAAACCGATTGATAAGGTGTCGGATTACATGAAACGTACAACTTTTGCTCTTGGCATGAAAGCGAACATCGTGCTAACAATTGTGAAAAATAAACCAACAACCAATAAACAAAACCTTGTACAAAAAGGTAGGCATCCAAAGTTAGATTCTTTTGATATCAGGGTCATCAGCATAGCTGACCTACATTGACGAACGTTGACCTTTATGACCCAACACTGCCGCTGTTACAGGTCATTGGTTCCCTCCCTCTGCAAGCCTTCTGCGTTCTGCTGTTTATTTTGTTGACAGTTACATAGACAGATTCTTTAATACAAATGCATAAAATCGGTGACTTACAATGTGATTAGGTTGTCTGACAAAACATCCACTTGCACAGTTTGAGATCGATTGGGTCATTGGATGAAGAGATATTTACAAAAAACCGGGTCCACATGCATTTCATGCCAAACTTATAACTGAAAATCGTTCCTCATATGACGTCACTGCAGTGCTCTGACCACAGAGTTACGTAACCTGTCTGTGGTTTCGTTGGCGGGCGAGAGGGAAGCAGGCGACTTTTTGGCTACTTTTAATCGCTCGGTATTAATTAACCACAAGTTTTTAAAGAATAAATTTGGTGTTCCGCATAAGACTAACCACAAATCTTTCATATGTAATGGTTAAAAGAGTAACAAAAAACAAAGTTTATTGGTTCTTTAAGTGTAAAGCCCTCTATGTGTCTGTAATGTTTCATTATCAAATGTCTTGAAGCAGGCCATCGTCTCTTATTGAAATATATAAGGCTTCGAATCGCCCTCGTGTGGATCTTCTATAAGCACAACCGGTCTATTTCGAAACTTCTCGAACGATCAAACCCGCAATGTTCACTACTTACACAAAGAGGGATAACTATTTTGTTTGATCTGGGTTTTGGGGGGTTTTTTTGTTTTACGCCGCGCTGAGCATTATTCCACCTAGATGACCTGAAGATCAGGGTTAAAATTGGATCAGTGCTTGTCGTAAGATGGCGACTAACGGGATCGGGTGATCAGATTTCACTGACTTGGTTGACACAACAGTGTAGATCGATGCTCTTGCTGTTGATCACTGGATTGTCTGTCGTCATATATTCAGCATATTGCTGAGTGCAGCTTTTGGTATGGAAAATATTAACTATATGACAGATTAATTACTTTTGTCAGTCAGGATTTATCAATCGCTGATATCGATGCTGCAAAAGCATCATATATACATGTACGCTAAAACATTACAGCAAACAGTCTGCTGCAGATTGCACAATACAATGGATATATGCTTAACTGTTTTACTGTGGTCCGCAATATCAGAGCACCAACAGGCATATTCCTGACAAGTAGGACTATTGCCAGATTTGATTCATTCATCAAAGTGTGTTAACCCAAGTCAGCCTCCGTTTCTTGTAATTGCATCTTATTCTTTCCAGGCACTTTTGACTATCTTGTTCCGGAAATGATGAAACACTGGGAAAACGATAAAGGTGAGGAAAGAATAAAAAAACCACAAATGTAAGGGAGTACGTAACCAGTGTAAAGATTGGAATGTTTTTAACAGAAATCGTGGCTCACTGTTTCAAAATGAGATATTTGAAAGTCGTATCGGCAATATCAAACTGTTATATTCAGTAATAATGTATATTAATTTTCAAGGGCCTAAAAATGGAACCGTTGTCAGGATACTTGGAGAGAAAAATTTGAAATCCATCTGCGGGGCACCTGCTTGGTCTTTTCGAGATCTCGAGCAGCACCAACGCTACCAGCTTCGCCAACTTGGAAGCAAGGTATAGAAACTGCATGTATGTTTTATCACGAACACACGTATAATGAATGAGCGGATATAAGGAACTATTTTTACAGCCACTTGCTGTGTATTTTAGTGTATGCGTATAACGAACTACGGTTTTAACGAACTTAGTTCGTTATATCCGTTGTTTATTATAATATGATAAACTTGAAGGTCCAGTTGGAATTGATGTTCAGCAACCCATGCTTGTAATAGGCGAATAACAGCATCAGGTAGTCAGGTTCGCTCACTTCCTTGACACATGTCATCGTATCTCAATTGCGTAGATCGATGTTCGACCTGTTGATCACTGGATTAGCTGGTCCAGACTCGAGTATTTACAGAGCTTTAATATTGCTGAGTAGGGTGTTAAACACCAGCCAACCAACTGTTATGCTATAATTAGAATTTGTACAAAGAAACTGTAATCGCCTGTGGGTATGTATACGACTTGAACACCCCTGGAATAAGTTGCAGATGCGGATATCCGTCCATCAGATGTTGTGAGGAATCTTGGCGTTCACATTGATTCTTCTTTGACGTTCAATGCCCATGTTAACCAAGTGAGCAAAACATGCTTCTTCCATCTCAGGTCGATCAGCAACATTCGCCAGTACTTGACTTCTGCAGCAACTCAAGCCCTTGTTCGAGCTCTAGTAACATCCAGGCTCGACTATTGTAACAGTGTTCTTTCTGGCATCAACTCCAATCTGATTGATAAACTGCAGAGGATTCAAAACACCTCTGCCCGCATTATCAGTAGAACTTCTAAACGTGTCCACATCACTCCTGTCCTTAAAGAACTCCACTGGCTTCCAGTCAAGGCAAGAATCGATTTCAAAATTCTCTCCCTGACGTACAAATGTCTCCATGGCTTGGCCCCTTCCTACCTCTCTGACCTGCTTCACCCATATGTACCTGCCCGCAGTCTCCGTTCCAACTCTCAGAATCTTCTTGTGATACCCTCCTACTGCGACACCGCAGCTTCTCCTACACAGCACCGGCCCTCTGGAATGTTCTTCCATATGACATCAAAGACTCTGACAGTTTTGATAGTTTTAAAGCAAAACTGAAAACCCACCTTTTCTCAGTATACTTCTCATAACTTCACCCATCTTCATCTTTGTAGCGCTTTGAGCATACCCAAGGGCGTGGAAAAGGCGCATTATAAATGTGCATTATTATTATTATTATTAATAGTGTTTGTTGTTCAGATGCAATGAATTATTGTGGCTGCTCCAGCCGAATGATGGCTGTTTGTAAATAACATCAGCTGGTCCAGGCAATTAGTGACTAACCCTGTTAACCGTTGCATCATTTAACAAGCGATAGGGTGCTGGATAACTGTGACAACCCGGAATCCTATTCTGCCTAAACGCACATGCATTATTCATCGACAACATCAGATGTCAGCCTCTGTATTGGTTGTTCTGTGACTTGGATTAGGGCGTGTCTTCATACCCCAACAGCCCAAGATGTTTAGGGTTTTTTAAAATTCTTTTTATTCATCCCTTGGCACATACATGTACAAACAGCGAATATGAATATGATACGCCTTATATACTTTCCCAAAAAAGAAACGCATCATGAAAATAGCAATTTCATGTAGCAATGAATTAAAACGGGATTCATTTTACAAAAGGTTTTGCTCTGTTTATGAGTCCTATGGTGTTTATGTTTTTGAAACATCACAGCAAAACGCACCATCCGTAAAATACCCGTATTTAACAGCATGATTTTCAATTTCGGCATGTAGTGTCACAGAATTCACAATTCATATGCAATGCACGTGAAAGTTGGGGATCAGATAGTCTCAATGAAGGGTATAAAAGGTTGATCGCTGTCTGTCGATTATTCACTGTATTTGGAATATTGTTGACGAACGCAAAATGCCACGTCTAAGTGAAGCCAACCGTCATATCGCCATTGGTTTGCTTGAAGCTGGCCAGTCTAAACGTGCAGTTGCCCGACGCATGAATGTTCACCAAAGCACACTTTCACGGCTCTGGGAGAGATATCGCCGGCAGAATTCGGTAGCAGATGCCCCTCGTAGTGGGCTACCTCGAGCAACCACTGCGGCACAGGATCGCTACATCCAGGTACATCACCTGCGTCATCGAACAGCTACGGCGACCAGTACCGCTCGACAAATACCCGGATTGAGGAGGCTTTCTGCACAGACCGTCAGGAACAGGTTGGTAGAGGCTGGTTTACGTGCCAGAAGACCTTATTTTGGCCCTGTGCTTCGACAACAACATCGTCGACATCGAGTTCAATGGTGCACCAAAGTTCAGGCCTGGAACCTACCGAATTGGCGTAGAATCTGGTTCAGTGATGAATCACGATTTCAATTGGAACGACGTGATGGAAGAATGCGAGTGTACAGACGTCGACGTGAACGTTTCGCCAACACTTGCGTTCCCCAGGTGGACAGATTCGGCCGGGGCAGTGTGTGTGTTAGTGTGTGTGTGTGTGTGTTAGTGTGTGTGTTAGAGAGAGAGAGAGAGAGAGAGAGAGAGAGTGTGTGTGTGTGTGTGTGTGTGTGTGTGTGTGTGTGTGTGTGTGTGTGTGTGTGTGTGTGTGTGTGTGTGTGTGTGTGTGTGTGAGAGAGAGAGAGAGTGAGAGTGACATATCACCTGCCGTAGGAGAAGTGGTTTGGTGATGACACAGGGCAACCAGACAGCTCAACGGTACTGTGACGAAATCCTACGCCCACACCTCCTTCCAATCATTGATCGCCAGAGGGAGTTGTTTCAACAGGACAATGCCAGGCCCCACACAGCACGTCACACTAGAGACTTCCTCCGGAACCACACCATCAATGTGCTCCCCTGGCCCTCAAGATCACCGGATTTAAACATCTGTGGGATGCCCTGGACAGACGGGTGCGACGCCGTAACCCTCAGCCCCAGCTGCGATTGGGCAACACGAAATTCTGAGACTTATTCGTTCGATACCGAGGCGATGCCGTGCAGTTCTGGATGCCCACGGTGGTCACACGAGGTATTGACTTCAGCGCCACCAGACGTCTCCATGTGACACTCAAACTTACTTTCCTCGAGTTGGTGCCAAAGACGGATACGTCTGCATTCCGGGTGTGCAATTTCGTTATATTTCATTGACTCATATAGCCTACAAGATGTTTCAAAATAAGCATAAAAATACAGTTGAAATTCCTATATGCGTTTCTTTTTTTGGGAGAGTATACATGGAAACAACCCATTCTGGCAGTCCATAAGGCTAAGGTAAAACGAATAGATAAGTGTGAGTGAGTGAGTTTAGTTTTACGCCGCTTTTAGCAACATTCCATCAATATCGCACCAGACACCAAAAATGGGCTTCACACATTGTACCCATGTGGGGAATCGAACCGGGTCTTCAGCGTGACGAACCAACGCTTTAACCACTAGGCTACCCCACCTTCCGTTAATAGATAAGAGATATACTGAATAACCGAGCTGTGAGACATCAACTGGCCCTGTGTGGTTATGGCAATTGCAAATCCATTAAATATTTTCACCTTGTTAAGCAATTTGATGTGGGTTTGGGTTTTCTTTCAAAGGAACAAGTAAACGATGACCGAAAGAAGAGCTTGATACACCACAAGGGCAAACTGTTGACTGAAAACAATGAATCGTTTGGGTTTTTAATCAGAGATATAAATCGGATGAATTGTTTTGAAGTAGAGACTCTGACATGTCTGAAGTGTGTGAAATAGTTTCGAAATTTTGCTAGCCAGTCGAGCTAGCTATGCCTGAAAGTTACTATCCCACAAAATAATTCACAAGCCCGAAATGTGAATGTAGAAACTAAGCAAAATATTAAAGAAATATTACCATCATTTATCAAGCCATAATCTTGCATGATTTAAAAGTGCATTATAACTTAACAAGTCAGAGAGAGTAATATCTTTAAATAATGACCCCATGAAAAATCCCCTTCCAGTCGGGCCAGTGACTGTGGTGATTTTCTGGCTAAACATGATATTTACTAGCCACGGGCTAGCGAGCCAGTGGCTATTCCCACTTTGCATGTCTGGGACTTTAACACATTTGTTTTTTTGTTTCAGTTTGCTGAGAGAGTTTATTACGGTGCAAAGGATATTGCCAACAGCTCTGTCTGCATGAAGTACTATTCCATCATCCACTCTCGTTGTCATTGTTGTGGAGTTTGCTGTTGCAGCTCAACATTCTTATTTTTGTTGATGATGTTACTTCTCTTCATCATACAAGCATTAGAGATGAGAATAGTAGACGATAACTATTTTCTTGTCCCGTTCTACATCATGATTCCCCTCGGTGTTGGTTTGGTCTATGCTGTACATGTGATGGTAAGTACATGCGACTTATTGAACTGTGTAGGAGACTGCAGGCACAAAGATTTTTTAAAATATTGTTTTTGAGATGACCCCGGCTCGAAATGCTTCATGATATATTGTACTGTGAAGCATTTCGAGTCGGGGGTCATCTCAAATTTCTATATATATTTTTTTTAAACCTTTAATCCTCGCAAAGGCACGAGGGCCTGTGGCTGCGGGTAGCCAAGTGGTTAAAATGTTCCCTCGCACACCGAGAACCTGGGTTTGACATCCTGGTTACAATTTGTGAAATTCTTTTCTGGTATCTCCACCATAAGATATTTCTCACTCAAAGGCAGAGGCGAGGTGGAATGGGGTTAAACTGCTCCGTTGAAGAATACTGTACTAAGACAGTGACAATCTTGCGACAGTTTACACAGTATACGGACTCTCGGCTGACGTTTGATACTGAATATTAACTCCAGCGTTAAACTAACAGACACATCCACTAGGCAATATTATAAGCAATAATGTAATATTCGATGGCCATTCCTAACTTTCTGCTACCAGGACGTATCTTGTTACATTGATGACTTTTTCTCACAATAAAACTAAGCGAGTTTCAATTTGGTTTAACACTCCATTGAACAATACTTTCGTGCTGTCACTGTCTGGAAGTCCTGTCAATGGTGCTGACAAATCATTGACATGTCTGAAGAATCAATGGGACCCGACAATAGGTGTCACACGAGGACAAAAGGACTCGAGTACCCTAGGGGTATTACCCGGTATTACCCGACTCGTACCCGGGTAGCCGATATTCCACCTTCAGGCTTCACAATTTGTCCCTCTTGGGTACTCGCGTCCTACAAATTAGACTCGAGTCTGCTCCACCTGACTAGGACTCGAGTACTCGTGAGAGCCCTAGCTGGAATATTGCTAAAAACCACACTCACTCACTCACTCACAAATGGTCTGCCATTAACCCTACCCTGTGATTTGTATATATACGTGTGAGGTGTGTGTGTGTGTGTGTGTGTGTGCTGTTGATACTGTTTTACCCCTGGTTAGGTATATCTCGTTGTGAACCTCCACCATTCAATGCTCCACGTGTGCCCTGTTCTGTATTGTACTTCTCATAATGTAATGTTTCATGTATTTCCTGTGTTTGTTTTCTACAGTTGGAAAAGAGATTGAGGGCTCGACTGCAAGCGTATTCCATGGAGCATGTTTTTGAAACAAATATCCTCATCAACTACAAATCAAGGACACGGCAGCCAAACGTATCCTTTGGGAAATCAGCTGCAGCAGCAGCAGCAGTAGCAGCAGCAGCAGCACCAGCACCACCAGCACCAGCAGCAGCAGCAGCACCAGCACCAGCAGCAGCAGCAGCACCAGCACCAGCAGCAGCAGCAGCACCAGCACCAGCAGCAGCAGCAGCAGCAGCACCAGCATCGTTTCTTCTTTTCTATCTTTTCTCTTTCTCTGTAGTATGGTTCCTAGAATCTAAAAAAAAAAACAGGGCAAGAGAATACGTAGTCTTGACTATCCCCAGAAACAGATTCGTCTTGGTGCGCAGAGAAAATAGCTGTAACTGTATATGAATAGGTCACTGATAAGCAGTGATGACACCAGGTGTTCGCGAACTGAAATGTAGAGTGTTGTCTAAAAATCATACTTTGGCAGCACTCGTATGTCAGTATTGTGAGCTCAAATTACCTATTCTAAAACAATATTGAACATATAATACAACCTATATTAAACCAGCTTCATGTGATTGGTCCTATGACTTGCCTTAACCTTGTCTTCAGTTGGATGTCATGTATTACGACTTACAGCCATGTATGGTGAGTATCAGTAATATGTTATGGTAGTCGTAGTGTACGCTGTCAGTTGTAATGTGTGGCGCCGATTGCTAGTGTTTCCCCCGGGATTATGAAAGGACAGGGTAGGCTCACACAAAAAGGGGCACTATAAAATTCAAAAGGGCATTCAGCAAAATAAAAAGGCACAACAATGAAGGGTACAGCAATTTATTGTGGTTGACACCATTTGGGTCTGTTTGGCATGCTTTGATACCACTGCTAACCTTACATGCTGTCTGTTCACAGAACTACTTAAGTGACATCATTTACGGACCACGTGAGGCTGGTGAAACATTACCAGGCAGAGACAGAGAGGTAAGGAAGCGTGATATTGCTAAGCCGCCCTACTGGTTGTATCGGTCACAAACACATGCCACGGAGTTGCAATATTCGCATGACAAAGATATAATGGTTTATGAGAAAATATGGAATGTCACTGGACATTCTTCCACCGATGCTTCAAGCTTGTCTACCAGAAACGTTTAAATGTGTTGAGGTGTTCATATATTTTGAAAGGAAGTTGACTGATGAAGAACTTTCATTTTCAGATACTGCTGTGATTCACATATAAGTATTAGCAAACAAGAATGGACATCTTATAATGCTATTGGTTGAGGCAAAACTTATGCATATCGTTAGGTACACAAATGTATGATATAATCCATAACCGTTGCATAAAAATATAAATGTTAAGGTCCAGATAGTAGTAAATTCACAGATCCGTAATGATCAGGGTTAGAATTCATCTTCAGCAACCCATGCTTGTTGGAAGAGGCGACTAATTGGATAAGGTGGTCAGGCTCGCTGACTGGGTTGATGCATGTCATCGTATCCCAAGTGCGTAGATCGGCGCTCAAGACGTCAATCACTGGATTGTCTGGTCCACACTCCATTATTTACAGACTGCCGTCATACAGCTGGAGTGTGGCGTAAAACAATAACAAACAAACACAACCTATCAAGTTATTTTCTGGGTGGTATATCGTTTGCCTTTCCCGAGAATTGAGCTTCTTGATATTCTATGCATGTCTTGTTAATGGCAGAATTTAATCCTAGCTCTGCCACTAAACTTTGCCTTGTGTAATCATCTTGGTTTTTCAAATTTCAGGGAGGGACACGAAAGGCTGGAAAACGTTACATAATCTCCTTCATGGAAAGAAATTATGACTTTCTGTTTAGCGACAGTTTTGAAACAACTGTGATGGACAGGCATCCCACAGTATATAGACGTAAATGCATTTGCGAAATGCTCGAGAAACAGGTGCGGCAAAGATGTGAAGAACAAATATGACCCCCGTTGATGTATAGATTCGCAATTCCGTTGAAGAAAAACGCACACTGCTTGCAATGATAGCCAATTGAAGAGAAACCCGTGACAAGATGACTGCATGTTAGTGTGCACTGATGTCGAGGATCGTCGCCAATGGTTGTCTCACTTGTATGACGTCATTTACAGGTAGTTTAATTGAAATTGGTCACCTACAGCGTAACAACATTCAAAATACTAAGATTAAATAATTTGGACAGTAGGATTAATCCATAAGCTATATATATACCTTTCTCAGAAATATTTCTATTCTTCAGACCGAAGCACACCTTTTTCTGGTTTTTTTGTGTAAAGTATCACACCAGGTATTACGATTCCAACTACATTTCGACTAAATATACTGTCACTGGATGTATCAAGGAAGTTTCATGTCCGTTGTAAAACATAATTGTAGTGTGAATCTTTTACTAGTTTTGTAAGCAACGTTAGATATGAGTCTTTTGATAGTTTTGTAAGCAACGTTAGATATGAGTCTTTTAGTTTTGTAAGCAACGTTAGATATGAGTCTTTTGATAGTTTTGTAAGCAACGTTGGATACGAGTCTTTTAATAGTTTTGCATGCAACGTTAAAAATATCCATGTTTATTGTTTAATATACCAACGACTTCAGCCTCACCGGCGTTACGTTCTATGGTCTGCCAGAAGCCTGTTACCCCTAGCATGAATTGGCAAAAACATATTCTACCCACAACTCCTCACAGGGACAAAGTAATAATTTCTGTATTGTTTAGTTGTAGAGCGCATATATTCAGGTATCTGTATTCAAATGACTTTTACCTAAATTGTTCATGTGCTTCTGAAATAAATAATTAATCTCAGACAGTTGATGGATTTCCTGTCTATACCTGACTAGACGTCTGTAAAATCAAGTTTTGCCATGTGATGGCTGCTGTGTCTGTTGGAGGCCCGGAAGCATGAGAAGGTCATTTGACTGTGAATCTTCTGTCGCCTCATAAGCCAGCTTCAGTTGTCTACTCTCCAGTATAATGCTGGTGTTTTGAGCATGCATTCAGTTGATCGAGGCAAAGGTAATAAACACTCATTAGGCTTGGTTTACTATGCAGCTGCAACGAATGCAGCAGAGAGGGCAATCCTGGCACTGTCATCGTCAGCTCAGGGCTCTTGACCCCTTTTCATGAATCCCAGGCAGTAAATGGGACTTCTCACATGAAGAACTGACAGATCGAACGTTTCGGAGAATGTGTGGACTCCTTAACATAGCGGTAGCGTTCTGCATTGGCCAGAGTGTCAGCAGGGCTGTGGTCCTGGCAGTTAGCTCACGTACTCTCAGTGTCAGTCCATATAGGTACCAAAACTCTCGGAGGAATTACACATAAGGCACCAAGCACAAAGGGGTGTCGGACAACTTGGTGCTTGGAATGCAAGTGTAACATTTGGTAAATGAGGTCTGCATACGTTTCTTGAATATTGTCACTTTTGTGACAAAAGGAACGAAACATGTAATGATGTTCATGCTTTTATTACAAAGAGACACGGTCAGTTTTGTTGACTTTGACAGGTCTGTGGCAGTATATAGGCCTATTCCGAAAAAATTACTAAACTGTCATTTTCCTCTACATAATGTGGGCTGTACCATGGATGGTAAGAAAGCTTAAAGCATGGCGAAGACAGGAATAAAAGAAGCGAGCCACGTCGTCATGTTGCTTAAGATACAGCGAGCCAACGCTTCCGCTGACAAGTTGTTGGACACCTTTACTAACTTCATTACATAATTTCGTATTTTAAATTTGATGACAAATCACACATTGGTTATGAGTGGGAAATGACTGGTCCAGAGCAATGAGAGAGCCTTCTGTGTCACGTTTCAGTCCAGCAACCCCAAGCGATGGGTTCTTCGCAACGCAACGAAAGGCAACGCAACGCACATAAATTCAGGGCAGTGGTCGTTCGGAGAGCCTTCCAATTCCTCAAAAACTCGAGCTTCTGACGATTTGGTCATATCGCTTGACAGACAGTGCTAGTGAACCATCATCAAAATCAACATTGACATTGAGATTGTATCCAACACCCTCCGCACGTTCACGAAAACCGGAGTTATTGACACGTTTCACATTAGGATCATTATACAAAAACATGTGTGTGAAAGCGCACAATGATGGTCTTTCATGAAGAGCCTCTACATAATTAAGCCACCCTCCCATTATGATAGTTAAATATAAACGATTGAGAGCGAGGATGATGGCATCTGTTGTCTAAGCTGATTCTATGATACTGTATTCTCTGTCTTCTGTATTTTTTCTCATGAAAGCTCATCAAAGTCATTGATACAGCTCACCTCAGTCATTGATACAGCTCACCTCAGCCATTCATACAGCTCACCTCAGTCATTGATACAGCTCACCTCAGTCATTGATACAGCTCACCTCAGTCATTGATACAGCTCATCACAGTCATTGATACAGCTCACCTCAGCCATTCATACAGCTCAGTCATTCAGCTCATTGCTACAGCTCACCTCAGCCATTGATACAGCTCACCTCAGTCATTGATACAGCTCACCTCAGTCATTGATACAGCTCATCACAGTCATTCATACAGGTCACCTCAGCCATTCATACAGCTCACCTCAGTCATTGCTACAGCTCATCAGTCACTGATACAGCTCATCAGCCATTCATACAGCTCACCTCAGTCATTGCTACAGCTCATCACAGTCATTGATTTAAAGGGACACTTATCCAGAGCGACTGATGTTTTTGCGCCAAAAATCTGATTACGTCAGGTGGTCAGTCGCTGCTCCTTCGACCGTGTATGGAATTTCTTCGACCTAAACAATGTGACAATGCCCATCAGATGCCGTTATTTGAAAATATCACCGGTAGTTCTTGTCTGATTGTAATAAAGCATCCCAGCATCCCATCCTAGGCTTTCTTGGATTTTCTGATGCGTCGATGGTGTGATGACTGGTCCTATTTGATCCCATTTCTGTGTTTTTTACCTCGATATTTAATCATGTCATGTAAAGATGTGATGACCATTCACCTATTTAATGAATAAAATAATGAATCCGAAAACTAAATCAACCCCACTTTGACAATGCAAGAAAAATTTGTAAATCTACCAAGAGAAGTAAAGGTTTGGTAAGGCCAAGAAATATACAGAACATGTAATCACAAAGGAATAAGAATAAAAACAAAGAAAGAAAATTTAAGGAATAGACTTTACTTTATCTAACTAATATAATTCTTGAATTCTATCAAATGAGTTACGTCCATGGGCAGGCTTATATTGCTAATACAAATGAGTATTTATTTATATTTTTGATCCCACGGTGTCAGAAAAATAGGTTGTAGTGTACAAGTGGAACGCTGCTCAGAGCAGCGTATCGGTTGAGGCAGTCTCTGTTTATTCAAATGGTAAATACAGACGTTCACGATAGAGAATAGAAAGTCTCAATTATCAAACGGGAAAGGCTTGACACCAGGTGCAAAAAGCATAATGCAAATAAGAAAAAAAATATTTTGAATTTAATTTTTAAAAAGACAGAGCTGTTACACATTCAGAACAGACTAAGGTCGGGAAACACATATCTCGTATTTTAAGTTAAAAGTTATATGGTATTAGTTACTGCTCACGGTCTAAGTGGCGGATAGCTTCAATCGTTATCATGATAATACACATCCCATGAATCTACGTGTCCATCATCAGTAGAGTGGCCAAGTCAGGCGAGCCTTGGGACAGGAAGTACAGAGGGAGCAAATCATCGTCAATCTCCGGCAACACCATTGGCGGACGTACGCGCCTCCTTCTGGGCGCTCTTCTTCCGGCACGTCGCGTGATGGCGATGTCTGCGCAGTTGCGGATTTCGTTAGGGGCATAGCAGATTCTTGGCGGAATTAGGTAGCTGGTGCAGTCAGCAAGGAGATATTGGTCTGTAAACCCAGAAAAGAGAAAATAAATTCATTATAAGCTCTGTCGCATTATGTTGGGTTGATGATGTTATAAGACATCTTCCTCTTCAAACTACATTCTTCACAAAATGAAACGCATAGGTGATTTTTAGAAAATTGTAGCTGCGGCAAAAACAATACAATTATACTCAGTAACTTTATTTCTTTCCAAAACGTCATCTTCGTGGAATTGTAAACAGCTTCAGCGCCAATTTTTACTTTTTCCCTTGTTTTAGAGGCGTTTGAAGAAATATTCGCCAAAACGTCACCAAGAAAATATGCAAAGCAAAATGCACGTGCAAGTAAGAATAAAAGCATGCGGTAGCAATCACTATAAAAAGGCAAACGTTGTGTTTAATTTTGTTATTCGTTTTTGCCTGGAAAAGAGGAAATCATGCAACAACTGAGCGCCGCTAATCGAAACATCGCCTTGAAGCTGGGGAGTCGCAGACTGCAGTTGCCCAACATCTCAACGTTTACCAGAGCACCATATTAGGCTTTGGGAGCGTTTCCTGTAGACCAATTCACCCCGAGATCGCTCGAGAAGCAGGCGTTCAAGAGTTACCACCCAATTCCAGGACCGCTTCATCCGGGCTGTTCACTTGCGTCATCATCTTGCCGTTGCCGTGGAGACTGCGTAACGCATCCCTGGTTTGGGAAGAATTTCCGACCAAACTGCCAGGAATCGATTGCGTGAAGTGGGGATTCGACCCAGAAGGCCAGTTGTCTCCGCTGTTTTGAGATACTTCCATCGGCACAATCGCTTAATGTGGTGTCGTAGAGTCCGGAACTGGAGGCGAGTCTCGGTCTCGGTCTTCTTCATTGGCGAGATGGAAGGCAGCATGTTTACCGTCGGAGTTTTGCCCCTAATTGCATTCTACAGGTCGACAGATTCGGTGGAGACAGAGTCATGGTGTGGGTAACGATATCCAGCACACAAAGATCTGTTGAGTGGTGGTTCAGTGGAATTTGACAGCAAATCGGTAAATCAACGAAGTCCTTGCACGTCAAATGCTTCCGATTATGGACCGACAGTGGGTTCAGCATGACCACGCTACTTGACATACAACACGCGCCACGGTCAACGACCTTGCCATTTCTAACGTTAATGTCTTGCCAGGGCCTTCCCGATCACCAGATCTAAACCCGATAGAACACCTATGGGATGAACTCGATCGAAGTGAACGTCAACGTCAAAACACGCCTCAGACACTTCCACAAGTGGCCATCGCATTGCAGGAAGAGTGGAGAATTCCGTAAAAGCGACTTCGTCGACCTATCCAGTCTGTGTCGAGACGGTGCCGAGCAGTAATTGCTGCCAATGGTGGCCATACAAAGTACTGATTCTGACGCCATCTTGTGGACTCATCTAAACCGAAACACAACAGTACAGGCTGCCGTTGTGTTGGTGAACTCTTTGCCTATAGACATGTGAATTTGCACCTTTTTACCATTGAGATTACATGAAATAATTGCTATTAAACTAACGCAATACATTCTTCTGAAATTGCTTATGAGTTTCTTTTTTGTGAAGAGTTACCACCCAACCCCGTTTGGGATTCAGTATTGGCGAATGATGGTCGTCGAGTGTGCCTTAATAGTCGGAGTGTCTTCACGATTGGACGTCACCTTGGGTCGTGCAGAACGTGAGCGATCCTTCAACTCATTGGTTTTTCTATATTTTCTCACCAAACGACTGACAATGATGTTGTGGACATTCATTTACCGACCAATTGTTTAAGAGGACATACCGGAGTCATGCAACCAATAACTTGCCTTCTCTGACCATCTGATAATCCTCTTCAATGTCGGCAGAAATATGATTGAGCATTGTAACCCATGCAAGTTAAATAACGACATGTGGCATAAACTGCACTAGTGAAAATGAGTGGGTTTGCATCTGAACATTCTCCACGGGGGATGTGTGTGAGACACTTTCCACTAAGTATACTTGCAATAATTTCTTACATGAGCAGTATTACCATACGTATCATCATACACAAGTTGGGGCGGTGGGGAAGCCTAGTGGTTAAAGCGTTCGCTCGTCACGCCGAAGACCCGAGTTCGATACCCCACATGGGTACAATCTGTGAAGCCCATTTCTGGTGTCTCCCGTCGTGATATTGCTGGAATATTGCTAGCGGCGTAAAATTATACTTACTCACTCACTCACTCATACACAAGTTGAACTTGAACATAGTTCTGGCATCGGTAAACATATTAAGGGGTGCTAAACATTTTTTCGATGTGTATACTTATAGAAAAAAAAATTATATATTTTTTTAAATTGAGAGGGCAAGCGTGTGGAACAACATGTCATCACAAGAATGTAAAAATTGCCTTAAAGAAGAAAGTGATGTGTTAGTTATCGGACATATATGTCAGCCATGAGCGTTATGAATTTGGGTTTGGTGTACCTTAAGGGTATATTCTGTCATCCATCGAAAGACAAAACCGAAATATCCTCTTCAAATCAAGAGGTACAAAAAGCTTTAACGATGTCACGTGACTCCCTAACATTCTGGTTAGAATTGGTCTTCAGGTAAACACATTTGTGTAAGAGGCGACTGATGGGATGGTCAGGGTCGCTGACTTTTGATGTATGTCATTGTGTCCTACTTTCACAGATCAATGCTCGTCACGCCATTCGCTAGGTTGTCTTGCAAAGCGTAGATTATCTATAGACCCACGTCTACCCGTGAAGTACCCGATTGATCTCAGCCATGTGAAAGGCGACGAACGGGATTGGGTGGCCAGGCTAGCTGACTTGGCAGGGGCGGATACAGCTTTTTGAGAAAGGGGTGGGGCTTGCGTAGTTCATTTTCACCCTTTTTCACTTGAGTTTCAATGGTCAATTAGTCATTCAATAAGCTCCCCCCCCCCCCCCTATGGATCCGCCTATGCTTGGTTGACATAATTGCGTAGATCGATGCTCATGTTGTTGATCACTGGATCGTGTAGTCCAGACTCGATTACTTGAAGACTGCCGCTATATAGCTAGTGTATTGCTGGGTGCGGCGTTAACCAACAAACAAACAACAACGTGGTGTGCATGTATAATAATAGCTGGAATGACAGATATGCCCATTCTGTGGTGACAGGATGTCACGACTAATGGTTTATTTGTGTACGGCAACGTTTTTATCGGCACACGTTTCTCCCCTAAACATGCTTAACGTCTTCACCTCCACCTGTTGGGGGAGACAAAGACACGTGTGTGATTCGCTCTTTCACAATCTTGTCACTTCTTCTGATTTTTCTGTCTCCTAAAGTATAATCGTTGTAATCGTTTTTTGACAGTAACAACTCATTCCCCGTCGGTGTCTTACTCTGGCACGCTCACATTACCCCATCTTGGCGTTCCTTACGTGGTTTCTCTTTGGTAAAAATTAAGACTGTATTTTCATAATTTTAGGTTTGTATTCTCAAAAGGTGATTATTTTAACTCCCAGATGACAGTGTTGAGTTTGTTGTTCAGATTGGAGTGTGATTCTGATTGTTTATCGGCCTTATGGCAAAGTCGCCACACCTTTGAAAATCACCTGTGAGTTAATGAGGTTTTAGGGACCGTTCATAATTTATGTGTGTGTGTGTGTGTGTGTGCGTGCGTGCGTGCGTGTGTGCGTGCGTGCGTGCGTGCGTGTTGGGGGCAGCAATTTTGTACATTAAAATATCAAAATAACATCCTTAAAAATTATGGGGGTGGGGTGGGTCATTGATTTTGCACATGATACGCAGGGACGGGGGGACTTACTTCGTACAGAAATCTTAGGGGGATTCATCACATTGTACATGCTCCTCTATAAAATTCGTCATCACACTCCTAGCCATAAATTATGTACGGTCCCTTACGACGCTATGATTGTGCATGTATTAGTCATGGAGTTGGTGAAATATTGGAGTCAGTATATAAATAGGATATTTGATGGGGGGGGAGGAGAATACGTAATTGCTATGGGTATGGGTGGTGTGGGTGATGAGCCAAGGCGTGTAAGGGTCAGTGTGATGAGTATGTTGATGAGGAGGGCAACTGTGTTGGTGAGCGTGGGAGAGAGTGTGCTCGTACAAATAGCGATGGCTGAGTGGGTTAGATCGACTTAACCCTTTACGGTTTAACGTGTAGTGGGAGAGCGTGTTCAAGCATGGTGAGTGGGGCAAGTGTTGCGTTGAGCGTTGCTGAGTGAGATCGACAGTGTTAAATGAACCAGGTGAATGGGTGAGTGTAGTTGTAAACATAATCAGCAGCATTGCTTAGGTAGTTTAACGTGTGTGCTGCTGAATGTTAGTGAGTGAGTTTAGTTTGACGCCGCTTTTAGCAATATTCCAGCAATATCACGGCGGGGGGCACATTTAATGGGCTTCACACATTGTACCCATGTGGGGAATCAAACCCGGGTCTTCGGCGTGCCGAGCCAACGCTTTAACCACTAGGCTACCCCACCGCCCAAGAGATAGAGAGAGAATGGGAGGGAGAGAGAGAGATAGAGGAGAGAGGGAGAGAGAAAGAGAGGGAGAGAGAGGGCGAGAGAATAGGAGAGGGAGAGAGAAAGAGCTAGAGAGAGAGAGAGAGAGAATGGAGAGAGAGAGAGAGAGAGAGAGAGTTCCTCTCTGCTCGTCACTTTAAGCTTGTCCTTTATATATGAATGTTAATATATTTAATACTGAAGGACACGAAAGTCAGATTCAATTCATCACATAACATGGTTATGCAATACAGTGGGTATAGAGAACATGCACATGCATTTTCAAAAGTTTATTATTAGTGAACATGGTAGGCTACAGATAATAAAGCTGAATGGACGGTGTTGCGTTATGACGTGTGATTCTGCGGTGGCTGACTGAGGGCGATGTCGGCACAGTTCCGATACTCATACGGGTACAAACAGGTCCTTGGAAATGGAAACCGCATGCATTCCCAGTAGGATGAATAATATTCTGATAAATAGAAGCAGAGTATATGAAGTGAGTGGGTGAGTTGGGTT